CTGCTCTCAATCCATTCTCCACCCAGGCTATATTTGTGCTTAGGGTTGCCCCAAGTCATGTGCAGGACCTTGCACTTGACCTTGTTGAACTTCATGAGGTTTGCATTGGCCCACCTCTCAAGCCTGTCAAGGTCCCTCTGGATGGCATCCCTTCCCTCCAGCACGTTGACTGCACCACACAGCTTGGTGTTGTCAGCAAACTTGCTGAGGGTGCACTCGATCCTCCTGTCTGTGTCTCCCACAAAGATGTTAAACAGCACTGGTTCCAGTACTGACCCCTGCAGAACGCCAGTCGTCACTGGTCTCCACTTGGACATTGAGCCTTTGACCACATGAATGTGACCATCCATCCAGTTCCTTATCCACTGAGTGGTCCTTCTGTCAAATCCATGTCTCTCCAATTCAGAGACAAGGATGTCGTGCGGGACAGTGTCAAAGGCTTTGCATAAGTCTAGGCAGATGATGTCAGTTGCTCTTCCCTTGTCCACCAGCACTGTAACCCTGTGGAAGAATGCTGTCATTATTCAGAAACTTTCTTCTCCTTTTTGAGAAGCCCTGTTTTCTTCCCCATTATGAGTCATTTGGCATTCCCCTGCCCCAGGACTGGGATTCCTTGTGTACCTCACTCCAGCTCTGTTTCAGCAAGACCTTTGTTTTTCCTTCTTTCCCCTCCTTGCCAACAGCTCTGTCTGGTTCCTCCCTTCCCCTTTTGTGTTAAAAGCATTTTGCCTCCTGTGCTCACAAGCCAGGCACTGCACCAAGTGTGCAACCAAACCTTTGGGGTTCACAGTTGATTCTACCTAAATCCTGTGTTTTATTAATAATGCAGTTGGAAAGGCCAAATACTGAAAGCCATCAGACTTTTAAAAACAAGCAGCCAAAACAAAAAACCCAACAAACTTGCAGAGATGGAGATTTTTTAGGTTTTTTTTCCCCAAGGTACATTTCAAATATAAGGACGCTGTTTTAGTAGTGGGGGCAAAAGCAGAATTCCTAGACATTTAAATATCATTATCAAGTATTACAATTTATTTCTGAAAGTGAAAACAAATAACTACCAAAGTATATGTTAAATTGTTGCCTTTTTTTCTCTAAATAAAATCCTTAGCCAGTAGTATTTAAAAAAAAATCTGTAATTTTTAAATCTCTGCTTGTGTTTTGATCCATTTTGCCAAACCGTCTGCATAGTGACTGTGTAATACAGTATTTGAATATTAAAATATGAATTGAAATTAATTACTTGCAGATTCTTGGCAGAATTGGGCAGATATCAATCTTGGTAGCTGAAATGATCTGTTAAATTCCAGAGCGAATGTAACACGGGGTGGGGGGGCAATGCAGTCAGCTCCAGCCACACCCATATGTCTGGATCCTCATTTCTCCTTTCGACATTTGTCTCTGCTCGTCTGGCTACCAGTTTGTATAAACTGTGCTCACGTCTGGTATGTAGTTACCTCCCCAATGCAGCTGAATGCAGAGATGCAGTATGCTGCAACATATTCATAAAATTCCTTTCTTGTTATTTGTGATTTTTATCTGCTTGGATATAGTCACTTGCAACTTTCCTTTGTTATTGCTGAGTTCAGTGTGAAATAGGATAGAGTTATTATGTGATACTTAAACCTAACAGATTTTTTTTTGTTCTGTTACAGTGGATGAAAGATATGTGGCGATCGGATCCCTGTTATGCAAGCTATGGTGTAGACGGGTCCACGTGCTCCTTTTTTATTTACCTCAGTGAGGTCAGTAATCTTTTAATCTGCAGAATGGTAACATCGGAGTGCCTCCGTATTTTTGGTAACTGTTTGCAAATTTTTCTCAAAAGAAATTGTAACTTTCTTCTGAAAAATTCTATAAAGAGGAAAAAAGTGTTAAAACCAGAATTATAAGGAAGTGTGTTGCTATTATTCATAAGTCCTCCAGGGGTTTCTAGCCTGAAGAATTCTAATGTTTATAACAGAAGTGATATAAGCAGCACCTCTCCAGGGAGTCCACACTAGGTATGCTGTTAAACCAAAGTATGAAGCTCAGTCACACCTCCTTGCCTCTGAACACTGTTTCTGTTGCTTTCTATGTAGCTCCTGAGGTAGTAATGGGGAGGCATTTTAAGGGAGGCATTTGGAATGTAAAATTTTGAAAGTGGAACTAGATGGTACATCCTCCTGAGCAGCATGGCCACTTCCTGCTTGGAGGCTGTTCATGAATTACAGAGTCTGTTAAAAGAAAACAACAACAAAAAGAAAGTGGTGTTTTTGAGTGAAATTGCAGCTATATTGGCTAAAGCTTTTGGTACCTATCAGAACCAAAGGCCCAGTTTTGTATACAGCCGAGTAAGGTGCTTGCCCTGATGTACAGACTTCCTATTCCCTGAGTAACACTTGTTTTCCGAGAATGAATTTTGTCACTCAATTATTATGAGCTCTATTACTGGCTTCTAGTGTGTGTGCCAGAAAGAGTCAGGTGTATTTAATCACTTGACCTCTTCTCTCTTATTAGTAAAATTTTGTTAACTTACAGCAACTGATCTTGGAAGTAGTATTGATATCTAGGGGCTTACTGCTTGTGATGAACTGTAAGAGCCCACGTGGCTGCAGAATTGTGAACTAATATTAATTTAGTAGTTTCTGCAGGACTGGGGGAGTGGGACTGGGTTGTTAAATTACGTGTCTGAGATTTAAACAGTAAGTCTGTTATATAAGTAACTCAGTTGTAATGAAAGCAGTTTCTGTTAATTTACTCAGTTGACTGCCACTGAACTTTTGGGGGCATTGCTTGAAGCAGCAGTAATAGTTAAATGCATATCCAAAACACATATCTGAAGAAATAAAAAAGGCTGAGTTGAATCACAAATTTGACTCATTCCATTGCTAGTACCAAGTGTTGATTTATTTATGGGCTATAACACTGGGGAAGGAAAAGATACAGGATGACTATATTATTTATCCTGTTATTTATCATAGAAGCTAGAGAAACAGTTTCATAATCATCTGAAGTTGATCTAAGTTTCTACTAAAAGGTTATGTTTTAGCATCAGCAGAGATACATTTGTGCATTAGTATTCTGACAGCCAGCAGGTACTTCATGTTTTTAATGCAGATGTGTCTTAAAAATGAAGATACATGTTGACTGAATGTGAGAATCTGATATTCTTAAATGACATTTACTATTTAGTATTTCTGTTAAATCACAGCATTTTCTGTGACAATCTGATCATCGGTTTTGAAAACTCAGGTGATCCTGTTTGGTTTTTTCATAATTGATCTTTCTGCTCATCCTCATAGCAAAAGACAAGCAGATTTACAGAGGCCAACTGGTTGTTTTTTTCAGTGGTCTAGGGATTTGAAATTTTTCTTAAAGCAGCAATACTGAATTTGGGCAACTTGTCATTTCATGATGGAACAGCAGTACGATTAGTCTATGTGTATATTCAGTAACTTGAGACAAAGGTCTTGTACTTTTTTTTTTAAAGTATTTTCCCATGACAGAATGTAAAACTAATATTGGGTGAGCATGTTATTAACCTTGAGTTTAAATTTGGCATTCTTAATCCTATGATTAATTCCATGATTAATACCCAGCAGCAGAGGTTGAAAGCTTAACTGTTTGCAAATGCAAGCATGAAATGAAATTCTAATAACACTACAGTGATGTGGATTTATGAGGTGTGTTGGCTGCTAAGGATAACTTGGAAATGCTGTTGCAAGAGTAATTTGTCAAAGTGGACAGTGATGAAGAGTTGACAGTTTATAGTATGGTTGCACAGCTGAATGATAAATGTGTCTACAGAGCTCTCAAGTCAAAACTGCTGATTTAAAATATTAAAATGCATTAGGGTACTGGAAGGATATTACTGTTGTGATTTTTCTTTTTTATTTTAAGGTTACACTACAGGAGTAAGATGCTTGTGTACACATGCTCTGTTTGAGAAGGCAACGTATGCATCAAATTATGTACAACCTCAGTTTGGAAAGCAGGATACGCATCAAATTGTGCATATGTTTTCTTCTGTTCTTAAAATTGCCTTTACAATCTAGTGTGACAGACATCTGTCCTCTTTCATACTCTTTGGGGATCTACTTTTTTCTTCTGAAGCAGTTCAGTTAGAGTATTATGTTACACTCATCTAGCACTCTTTGTAATACAGTTTTAAACTTGTAAACAAAGGAGCCTGAAATACTACATTTTCGTGTGTAATAGGGGTCAGAACCATAGATAAACAAAGTAATTTGCCTACAGTTTATGCAAGGGTTTAGAAACAAAGCTTGGAATAAAACCCAGTCTTTGAGTATATGTCATGTACCCTTATTATGTTTCCACCATGTGTGTCTGCAAAATAGAAACAGCACAGTCAAAATCTGGGCTGCCCCAAGTCTTCTCTTCTGAAGAGGATGTACAAGTGCAAGTATTAGCAGTTCTGGCTGCACTGGTTTGCTTTGGATGGCACTCCTGCAGAATCATAAGAACAGCCAGCTCTTCACGTCCCTTCGTGTGTCTTGGCTGCTTGAGCAGAATGGGAGGCAAGCGTGGTAGCAGAAGGAAAGCAAGAAGCAATCCAAGACATCCAGGCTTATGTTTTTTAATTTAAAGCCAAGTTCTGTACAGACTTGCAGATAAAGCTGCAAGGATTTTGTCCTTCTATCGTACTGTTTTGCTGCATGCTCTGGATCACTCCTGGTGGATGATATGCAACTGCGCAATCCTCTGGACTGGAGGAGATACCAATGGCTTGAATAGCAAAACAGACTTACATTCCCTTGAATAACAGAGCAAGGTGGGGATTTGAAGTAGGAAAAATTGAAAAGCAAGTTAAGCCAGCTCTAAGGTTTCTGGATAGTTGGTGCTGGTTTCCTTTTAACCATGGTACAAACTTGTCCACTGAGAAGAGTTATTTCCTTTTAAACTTACCATTTAGTTATGAAAAGCCAGTTGTTCAACACTGTAATGTCACTGGCACAGTTATAATTTTCACAGATGGCATTGCCTCTGGGGAGAAATGTGGAAAAAAATTAATTTCTAGACACTACAAAAATATATTTCACAGCAAAATGTCAATTCTCAGCTGAAGAATGAAGCTTTTAAAAATATCTTCCAGAAAATTAATTTTCCACAGTTTTCCCAGCTTGGGGGAAAAAAAGTGGAGGGGTCTTATCACTCCTTTTTGTCATCTAGATGTGTGCTTTCTCTGAAAGAACTAACTGCCACAGAGGAGAGGGACCGCTGCTGTGTTGCTGGTCAGCCAGCACCTGTGATGCAAGTTAACACCACGCAGGGGTCATTACATTGACACGTACCTGCTGGAGCTCTCCTTAAATCTCGTTAAAACCCCAGGCTTTGAATCTTCAGCTCACCTTTCAGGTGCAAACATAAAGTTGGCTACCCGTCTTGGAGGTGGATCCAGCACTTCAAAAGACTAAAACTGTTTCAAAGACCAGTCTTTGGGACTCTTGCTGCTTTGCTAGTATACCACTGGAGAGAATTCTTGTTTTCAGTTCTTCAGACTTGATGGAAACAGAAAGCAGAAAACAGATTCGTAGTTTGATTGCAGGAGTATTTTTCTTTACATTGTTACTTGTGCTCTGAGAGATGGAGCAGAAAAATACAAACTGAACGTGATTCTGAATGTGGGTTTGTTTGCAGAATGCAAGCTGTTGTCTGATGCACGTTTTAGTGAAAACACCTGGGAATCGTAATTATACAGGTTCCCCAAATCCTTGTGGTTTTGCTGGTTTAGTGCAGTTTGCTAGTGTCTGTGTGGAAGTCCCCCTTTCCACAACTTCTGCTGCACGTGTAATCTAATTTCTGACATTGATGCGTTAATGATTTCCATTTCTTCATTGTAATTTAACATCAAACCAACTTCTTTGGATTCTACACAATGACTCAGAGAATTGACAAATATAGTCTTGTTGTCTGAAATGTAAAGCAGTAAAAGCTTGAACTTCTTTAGTCATCTTACGTGTGTCCCTAAGAACTTGAAATGATAAAGATAGTACTTTGTCACCAAATCATCCATTAGCATGTTAGCCTGGATTTGGGCGATTGGGGGTCAGTTAGCTTTTCTAAATCCCATTTTAAACTGGGATTAGTATTCTTATGTCTTGTTGGAAAAGGCGTGGATGCTAGTGTAAGAGAAGAATCAAATCTAATGCACATTACTGATGTTAGATAAGAAGCCATTTGTTGCTTGATGGTTGTGTCTAAAATTTTGAGTTGCAGTGTCTCTGGGACTGTGGGTGCCTAACACCCAGTGTTTGGGGTTGCCTTTGGAAACGACCAAATCCAAAGTTACCTGTATACTTCTCCGTTTCACTAAACAGACAAACAACCATCTTGTACACCACAGATTTTGTAGCACCTTCAAAATGACTACCTATCACTGAGGAATTCCTGACAAAATATAGGTATTACAGCTTCTAGAGGAGTTTGAGAAAGTCACCTTCCCCATGGGAGCAGTTCCTTAGCATCAAATTGTCAATTGGATTTTCTAAGTGAACATTATGAGTTCTCTGCCTGCCTTCATACTGCCTAATAAATTTAAAGATTAACCTTCTTTCACCAGATATTGCAGCACTGTTTATTTTTTATATTTCTCACTCTGGGACTGGTATAAGACACTTAACAGCAGCACTTCACCATGGATAGAATTACACTGAGTAATAACGCTGTTCACCTGATGTGCACAGAAAGTTGCTTTAGTTTCCCTGTAGGTAGGCTGCACCTGCCCTTCAGAAGAGTTTGAAATGAAGATTATCCCAGGTGTTCAGAGAGAGTACCCTTCAGCTCTGCTTTGTTAAACTCCTGCTATGACTCTTTGAAAGCATAAAGTACTTAAATAAATTTTGGATGTGGAGAACTGCTGGCAGAGTATACTTTCATTCAGTTTGGAAGATGCTCAGACTATCCCAGTGCTACAGATGTTTGCCAGGTATTTATAACAGTACTTGAAGTCCCACTCTGCAATGTAGCCGAGCACTGCAATCTTGACTTCCCTTCAGTTTCAGTGTGTTTCTGAGGAGAAGTTATTGGAACAGATACATGCAAAGCTTCTGTACAACATATTCTTCTAATTTCTTAGGGTTTGGGGTTTTTTTGGTGTTAAGTCACCTACCAGTAAGCTATGTAAAGATAAAGTCATTGTGAAAGTGGATTGTCTATGATTACAGAATAGAGAAACTCTTGAGTTCAGTTTAAGTAAAATCTGGGCATTCACACCCCAAAGCAGTTCAGAACACCAACTTTTCACTAATATATGGAATCATGTAGCACTTAAATTTTGGACTTCTGAAGTACAATGCGACCTAACCTTATGGAGCTATCTGCATATGCTCTAGCCACTGCTGTGTCTACTGTGATTCAAAACCAGGTAGGGAAGACCTGGCTTCTCAGATGGACCTAGTGTCTTGAGCATGATCAAGGACTTGCTAATGCATTTGATTAGGATTGAATTCAACACTGGGTCCAGCTGGAGGAGGCACTTGGTCAAAAGTGTGACAGGAGAAAGAGAAATATAGTGTGTTCTGAATAATAGCTTAACGTTGCTATCACTCATCCAAAAAATGGGCAGTCTTCAAATCTGTAGTTGCTGATTCCCAACAATCTTCTTTAAGTACTAATCTGTTGTCTGATATCACATTCTTCCTATTAAGTCATGTGCGTGACAGTGCAACAGTCAGTTGCTATGGAGAGAATAAGCTAGAGAAAGAACTGATGCTAACCCAGCGGGGGGAAGGTTGTTCTGGAAAAGGGGGAAGAGGGGAGGGTCCTGGTTCCTTCTTTGAAGACAACTTCTGTGTTTTGTCTTAATGATCAAATAAAACACACAAAGAAGTTGAAGAGCAGGATCCAAATGAACACTGCAGCCCTCCTTCCCCTTGCTCAAACTTAGGGCTTGTTGCATGCGGATATTCTACACCTAAACAAATAAAAAACTGAGGTATTTGTACATTTCTGATGGAGATTTAATCTAAACCCACTTTAGTGATATCATAATCCTTTCTGTCACAGTTGCCAATGACAGATAGTAGGTGCATATGAATGGAGCATTACCAGATTTGTAACTGCATACTGCAACCTTAGCCCCTGCTCTGTCAATCTTCCGGTTTATGATCATATACATACCCATCTATACATGCATTTGTATGTATACACACACACCTTTTTGCCATTGCACGTGTTTTTAGTCACAAACATTCCTGGCCCAGGCCAAGTTATGCTTTAATACTGTTGTCCCGACCTGTCCCCTGTCCCATCCCCATCACCCAGTTCTGTATTAGGAGCTTCCAGAAAATGTGTTGCAAAACGAAGTCTCTAATTCTTCCCCTCACATTCCCTACCCTATCTCAGTCTCGTCCCTAGCAGTTTCAATGAAAGCTGATAGGCTTTCTTTAGGCAATTTAGGAGCAAGGGGAGAAAAGCAAGTTCCAGGCACCGGGTGTTTTCACAGAGTTTGCATCCCTGTCGCTGCTTATTTGTCACACAAGATGAAGAACATTGAAGGCTTCCATTCAAGCCAATTTGAGGAGTTTTAGACATTCTTTACCTTTCTTTCTCACACATTTATAGTTGGAAGTTAGTACTCACTGAAATAAAACCTGACTTGTACATGATCTTATATTGATAAGTCTGAGAAAAATGGATTAAGTTTTCACTGGTATTTACTGGGAAAAAGATAATTTTGTGAGCATTCTCTTGCGTTTTTTATTAACTATAGCACCCACCTTTGTTTTCAAAGAAGTTCCCATGGCAGTGGTTAATAGTCTGAGGAGAACAGCTGCAGGACTTGTTCAGAAATGATGAGTACAACTAGAGTTTCTGTTGTGGGCCATATTTGGGTCATGCATGGCAACCAGGAAAAATACTTAACCACTTAGGTTTCGTATTTAGTTACAGGCATCCTTGTGGGGTTCTGTATGAGAAACCCTGAAGCAATTAGGTGAAATGGCAATACTTGGTTCTTTAAAAACCAACCAAACAAAACACCCATCCACCCCCTTTCTAGGTCATCTGAAATTCTCATGAAGCTGTAGGTCCTGCCAAGAGCTGCAATTAGAAGTAGTTCCTAGGCTTAAAGGTGAGAAATTGCACGTTCTGGACAGAAAGCGCTTAAGTGCTCGGTTTGAATGGAATGCTGGTACACTGGGTAAGGGAGCAAGGCCAAGTAATGAAAGAGCAAAAGAAAGAGCAGAAAGTGGTTGTCTTGAAAAAGGCCAACAGTATGGTTATTTAAATAATTTGCAACAGAAGTAGTATGTATTCTGTACTACTGTGTGTCATTACATGGGGCTAAATAGAGAGGAATAAAAAGTTCATTTTGCTGTTCACCTGGGTTAGTGCAAACTTGCTTTTCATTCTGACACAAAATATCAAGTACTATTTATTTACAGGATTTTAAAGCAGTTTTTACTTAGGCTTTGTACCACTATACACCTTGATTTCACACAGTGCAATGCAAAACCACAGCAATCGCATTTTTATACGTGTAAAAATTTCTGCTCCTGAAAATGAGCAGAATTCTTTCCTTTTTCTGTAAGAGAATACCTGTACTTTCTTCCCAGTGCATTGATCAGTCCTAAAAAGAACAAAACAAGTGGCATACTTTGAAGTGTACGTGTTTAAAAATTTTCCAGTAAGTTAAATTGGTCTTTCCAATGAAAATAAGAATTGACTGAATATCAATAAGGAAAAATGAGTGCTAGACCAGATGCGTACACTGATATTACTTTGAGTCTACTCCTTAAGTGTTTATTTGTGATTAGAATGACTGTAATTTAATTTAGACTAGAGGGAATATTTCTAAAAGGACAAAAGAACTGTATTTGATTTTCAGTCAGTGAGACGTGCAGCTAATTGTCCTTGGCAGCTCTGACAAATCTTCAATTCCTTTAGGATGCCTGATGGTGCAATATGAAATACATAAAGCTGGAAAAGGGGCACATACAGTAGTCCTTGAAATGTCATATCTTAATTTAGATGAGTTTTAATGCTAAGTATAATTCACAATTATTTGTACTATTTTTAAAAAAAAAAGGAGATTTTGACTGTGCATGATTTGTAATATGGAGCTTGCAATTCTTTTCTAACAGTGATTCCACAATTTACATTAATAAAAGTTAGGGTTGTTAATTGATACAATTTCTAGTGCGTTTCCAGAGTTGGAGACCACTGAAGAATAAGATGTTTTCAAACAAGGTTGATCAAGTCACTGCTTTCAGATGTTGTATTAAATACATTGAGTGGATCAAGTCATAGCATTCACAGTAGTGCTTTTATGTAGTTTGAGGAACCTAAGCTTGATACATTTCTTCTCTTTAATGTGGTTATGATGTCTCTTAATTTATTTTCATATGATCAGTCTTCTAAGCAATCATTTGGTATGATCTTAAGCTTTTCATCTCTCATGCTTCAGGCTTAGTCCACCACAATTAAGCTAAAATTGTGATTTAACAGGTCTGTGACTGGAGGAACCAGAAGAGCAACTCTGACTTCTAATTCTCTGGGAGTTGTGAACTTAGTAGCAATGGGGTATCTTAGCTGGCCTATATGTTCTGATGTTTCTCCCTTTTCACAGTACAGTTAACGTTTCTGCTCTCATCAGTTTGTCTCCAACAGTGCGATTCCTTCTTCCCCAAAGCAAATGGTCTAATTTCCTAAGGCACATGAATAATAAAGATTCTACAGGACATCAAGAACCCTAGGGAGAGCACAGGAGCCTTCAGTGAATTGCATCCATTTGCTGTTTCTTCCCTAACTATTAGCTGTTATAGATCTTTTTTTTTTCTGGTAGACAATAGGGGAAGTAGGGCATTTGCACTGATTGTGTTTCTCTAAGAATTACAGCTATTCATACTTGTGGATATTGTTACTTATGTTATCGTTATGCTACTTATACCCTTCAAAGAGGGTGGTTTTGGTTTTATTCTTCTTTCAACTTTTTGTCTAGATTGCTGCAAGGTAGAACTTTGATCCTTGGGTTTTATCAGGCTTTGCCTTTTTATAAAGATATTCTGGGGAGATGGGAAATGTTCCAAAATATGCATTTTTTAAGGTCTAGAATCATAAAAAAACTCAGTGCTTTTTGAAAACGTTTAGGAACTGCTCAGAGAAACTGTATTTAGAGCATTTGAGAGCTGACCAATGTCTTGAAAGGGTTTTGTCTCCTGTATTCCTTATCATGAATGAATATCTAAATGTGACTTTCGGTTGCAAATTTGCAAGGTTAAAATACTATTGAATTGCAAAAGGTCTTAAGCTTTTCTTGCAAAAAGCAGTTTTACCTTGCAGTGACTTACTAATAAGCTGATGCCTTGTTTAAGCAATAGAAAGGTGGAATATAAAGGCATTGAGAGACTTTGGTAGACCAGCTGAAAGTAGAATAGAATAATTTATTTTCATGTGATTGTTTTACAGGTTGAAAATTGGTGTCCTCGTTTACCTTGGAGAGCAAAAAATCCTAATGAAGAAACTGATCAAAAAACAGTGGTAAGAACAGTGTTAAAACATGAGAAATAATTCAGTAGTTGTGATTCACACAAAAGATCCTGGAATCTGGTGCCACATAAATGCTACTAAGACTAGAATTTACCATTTTTATTCCTCAGCTCCTCAATACTGAAGGGAAGCATCCTTGGCTGTATATATGTAGCTCATCATTTTCTCCAGTCATTGTGTTGCGCCGCAGTCATGGTGGTAGATTGCCATTAAAAACATTTTTGTGTTCAAATTTATGAAATATTTTACACAAATACTGCAAAAAATTATGAATCCATGGACTGTTCACCAGTGTTAAGTGACCATATGTGAAACTGTCCATTTTTATTGTCCCATAAATCTGGGCCTTATATATAAAAATGCCTTAATGGGAGAGGCTTATATACATTTCAGTTTTGTAGTAACATTTTGATTACTCCTAATTTTTTTTTTTCCTTTAAAAACTGCTGCATGCAGAGCTGTTTCTAAACTGTTATAGCGGAATTATGTAGCACTTAGGTATTTTAACATAATTGCTGGGCTGTATATGAACAGTGCTTACGTAATTTAGATAGAGGCTGTCTCATTTTGTAAAACTAGTTGTTCTTAGATCAGTCTAGCTTTAAAATAAATATTTCCCTTAAAATTTATAGTCTAGTAATTTTTTTTTTTCCTTCATGGTATAATAGAAGACTTCCTTCAGCATACTGTTCTGATTTTATATTGTGTTTTAGAGATACTTTAACCTAATTTTGAAGCACATGAATGAAACCAAATCTAACATTGCAAAAACAAATACCTTGTGAAACATTGCAAACATATTCTGGGGCCACCAAATACTACTAATAAAAATAAGAGTAATTTATATGCCTTAGAAATGTATGTTTAAAGATATCTTAAATATTTGAGCTGTAATCTTTAGCACTAGGAGTGTATCTTTTTTCTGGTGGTTTTTTTTTTTTTTTTGATGAGGACTGTAAAGCAGAGTTGACATTTGAGAAGTGTTTTCGCTTCTGTGAAGTACACTATTTGAAGAATAACTAATGTTTGGGGTTTTTTTTAAATGCTTTAATTGAAGGCTGAAATTCGTGTCAACTTTGATAACCTCTACAAAATGATGTCAAGACATGAGGAATTTAGGTGGATGATGTTACGCATCGGACGAATGGCTGATACCTGGATTGAAGCAATTAAATCACTTGCAGAAAAACAAAATTTGGAGAAGAGAAAACGAAAAAAGGTAAATTAAAACATTTTTTATTCCTGACACTTGCTGTCATACAAGCTCTTTTAAGCCTCTTGTTCCAGAAGTTACTTCAGCATGGAAATACCAAACATGTCTAAAATGCTCGTGTTTATACTTGTACCTCTTTTCATTTTTGTTCATTTTTGTTTTCATTATTTTGCTGTTTGAAATTACTGTTGCAATGGATATTTGCTTTACAAATAGTTTTACATATTTTCCGTGAGTCAGTCTTTGAATAAGTTTTCTAACCTCTTTAATTTTGGTTGAAACAAAGACTATGTAGTTGTAGAAAACAACAGTTGTACGTCTTCTTTGTCCAGAATTGATACTTTAAATGTCATGTTTCTGTTTTGGATTTGAGTAGACTTAAACTTGACCACAACTTTGGATTGGATCAGTTTAGACCTCCTGTAATGAGTTCAATTTAAAAACAGTGAGATTCTTGAAGTGAACATTTCTATTTTATTTGATTTTTTTTTTTTTAATTACCTCAACTAGTTGTTAAAGCCAAAAGTTGTAAACACAACAACGGGTTTCCCTTCCTGCCTTGTTCTTACTGGAGCCAGTCCTGAGTGACATCAGGCCATGCACAGTCTTGTTTCTGCCTTCTTTTAAGCCTGACTGGCTGCAGCTCAGCTCCTTGCTTGATATTCTCAGTCCTCACCTCAGATCTGGGCTCCATGTTGCAGCTCTGATGTTTGTCACATACTGCAGTCCTTGAGTAGGCTCTGTCAAAGCTGTCATTCCAAGTTCTTAGCGGCTTGTTCACAACAGCATACCCTTCTTTAGCTATACTGTCTTATATAAGCAAGTATATCCTAATTGAGAATATAAGTCATTATTCAATGAAAGTAAGTTAATATGAGCCACAACTTTCTGTGCAGAATTACAGATTATTTGGTGAATAAAAGCGATTTCAGGGGTTTGTTTAATTACTGATGTAGTGGCATATAATGGCACAAAACAGTACAGTAACATTCTTGGAGCTACTGTTCTAGAGATTCATTACAAAATTATATTATTGGGCTGGGGGTGTTGGAATTTTTGGTTGATTCTTTGACCATAATTGGAATTTAACAAAAAAAAAAAAATGCTGTGAGGAATACTAGTTGCATGTTTAATGTCGATAACTCTAACATATGACTTTCCTTTCCAGATTCTTGTTCATCTGGGGCTTTTGACAAAAGAATCTGGATTCAAGATTGCAGAAAATGCGTTTAGCGGTGGCCCACTTGGTGAATTAGTCCAGTGGAGTGATTTAATTACATCTCTCTACTTACTGGGCCATGACATCAGGATTTCAGCTTCACTGGCAGAGCTCAAGGAGTAAGGAGATTACTTTCACTTTTGGAACTGGAATGCAAAAAAAAGAATTGTAAACTCTTGAAGCTTCTATTAACACTATATAATTTCTTGAAGCATAAAATGAAAGTGGTAATTCACTAAACAGACGATAAGATTATTTTCATGAGCTAAGTATATGTGCTATGAAAAGGATAATGTGTTTTCATTGTAGCTTCAGGCTCCTGAGACTTCATAAATGAATGTTGTAAAATTTAAACTAAGCAGCTTATTCTTTAACATTCCAGGTGCTTTAACCAGCTGCAATGGGAAGGGTTACAGACTAGCCTAGTTCTGTGTCCTCTTCTTCTGTTTCTGCTCTTCTTCACTCAGTATCTGATTTTAAAATAAAGGTTTAAATCCTTTAAACACATGACTTTTGACATAGTTAATTGCTTCTGTTAAGTCAAATTACTGCCTCACTTATCTTTGTCTTGCTTTGCATACTACTTCAGCCTTAGGCATAAAACATCTGTTTTCAGCTTAAGCACAAACACTTTTTCTGTAACTTTCATTTTTTTAATAACAAACATGACACCGTCATTTTGTAGAGATCTCTTACACTATAAAACTGTCAATAGAAGTCAGAAATTATTTCAAATAATTTCAAAGCACACTATTTTTAAACATTCCAACTATATCACTCTCTTGTTTAAACTAGATGAAATTTTTAGTGAAAATTAGCACTTTGCTGATGTATAAACAGTTCTTTAATAAATGCTGAGCATCTTTAGCATTTCAGTGTACTTACATGGCTCCTGATTTGGAAAAGGTAAGAGTAAGACTTTTTTGGAAAAGTTAATTATTGGAATAAATAGTATTACAACATCTCCTAAAGGTAATTGGAAGTAATATTTTTCCATGTTCCTTTTTTCTTTGTTTAGGATTATGAAGAAGGTTGTAGGTAATAGATCAGGCTGCCCTACCCAGGGAGATAAAGTTGTAGAACTTATTTACATTGATATTGTGGGACTGACTCAGTTTAAGAAAACCCTTGGTCCATCATGGGTACATTACCAGTAAGTATAGCACTTATTTGATCTCTTAACTGCATTGTTAAAGAGCTTTTGTTAAATAACACATGTCAAAATAGGTGAGTACATCCATGTGAATCTGAATTTATTTAAAAGTAAAAATGTGCTTCTCTGTTGTCTTTAACTCTTAGGAATAAAGGGGCTGTTGCCTGTGTGTTGCATACCATCTTTATCCCCCACAGAAAGTTTGGGATTCTTGGATTCAAACATTTTTAATCTTAATGAATTATATTATCTTGCTGAGTCATCATCTCTGCCTTGCTTTCCCTCCTTTCTTTACATCCCCCCTGCTTTTATTCTGTAAATTAGTAGATGAGCTTTTGTTGTTTAGTTGGAATACCAAAGGCATGTTTTGCTTGTCAGTGTTTGTAGCCATGCTGGATTGATGATTGTGGAGATTTATCTATTCTAATTGCATTGCTCAACAACTGCAAGGCAATTTTTTTCTGTTCCATCTCTTAAGATGCTGGGCAGAGAGTTGTCATCAGGGTAGGTCTAGAGAATAAACCTGATGGTAACGGCAGTTGTTTTTGCTTCTGTAATCTATGAACAACTTTCCATTAGAAATAGAAGATAGTGGTCACAAGAAATTACTTTGTACAGCCTTCTTAGTGTCTGCAGTTTCAGAACCACATTTCTTCTTGTCAATAACTTTAAATCAGCAAGCCCCCCGTGCATTGTACGAATGTATATCAGCATGAAATAAAACCAAATCTAAATTACTGACTTTGATTTTTCTATACCCGATCAAATTATCTGTGTTTCGTGATCCATAAGGTTCAGTAAATCCTGCTTGAAGGAAGGTATTGAAAGGTGTTCACTGCAGGCAAAAAACATGTTTTCTCTCTACCTCGGGATTTTCTAGAGCATTGCATCTTTTCAGTGTAATTTTAAATGAGAGTACTGTGATCAGCATTGCAGATTAGTCTTAATCTCTTTTTTGAAGCAGAGGAGTAAATGGATATTCTGGTTTTTAGGAGCCTGCTAATAAAGATAATCCCATTTTCCACTGAGCTACAGTTAGTTGTCTGTCTGCCAAATGTAATTGTCACTAGGCGATCACATACAGTATTGTGGTCAGGATATAAAACCATACTTAAAAATTTAAAATGTTTCTTCCCTTTTGCTTTCAATTTCCTACTTGGTATATTCTGTAATATAAAGATATGGAAATACACCATGACATTGAGATTATTGGATTAGCTGTTCAATTTTTCGTGTTTATTTCATGAACCGTTAAATCTTGAATTGTCAATCTGTTTTTCATTGATTCCTAATTTGTGGTAATGACTCACTTTTTCTGGTTTAGGAGAGTAGAATTAAATTTAACTCTAAATAAATACCTTTAGGTAGTTTAGGAGTTTTTATTAGGCTTTTGAAGAAGAAAAAAACACTTAATGCCTCTCCTCTACAACATTTCATGAGATGGAAGGGGACCTCATCTAGTCCATACCCTTGCTGAAAAGTAGATTGGATGTATTTGTCCTTCTTGAGGGAGTTTAGCCTAATCTTTTACTGAAGGCTCCAAAAGATGCCCCAGCCATTGTTTTATATGGTTAAGTGTTTCTTTAAAGTGTTTTTCTTGGCCGGATTTCTTGCAAATTGCCCATTGCTGCCTATTCTGATACGGTTCTGGGGAATAAATTACTTCCTCCCCCTCTCTACCAGCCTCTAGAACATCTTATATACTGATTTCCCTTCAGTTTGCTCTTCTTCAAAATAAATTCAGGGGTTTGGATCATTCCTTATAAATCATGTTTTGCAGACCTTTCGTCAAACCTGTTGCATTTGTTGGGAATCTCTCTAGTTAATCTCTCTGATTACTTGATACTGTTTCCTCAGGTCCAGAGTTTAGCAGAGACTACCAGAATTGATTTAGAGCAGGAGAATTAATTCATAGCTTCATGCAAGCTTTCTCCTGTTTGAGGATCCTCTTGCAATCATTTTTTTTTCTTTCAGCATCATGAGTTACCTCATAAATTTTGTCATCAAAATATTTTTCAGTTGTAACTAATAAGTCTAGTGTAAGAGCATAATTATATGTCTTTGTTTCACTCATTCCAGTAAAATAAACATTGTCACAATAAAGCCCTTGTTCTTTACAAACTTCACTTTCTCACTCAGTTGTATTTCATGTCAGTAGGAATAATTCATTGTCTTGAAAGAAGTGTTTTGCTTTATGCCATATAGTTTTTCAGCAGAAGTGCTGGTGAGCTCAGCCTGGTTTATGCAGACCAGACTCACACACAAATAAATTAAAACTTGTTTGTTCACTTCAAATTGCAACAGAGTGTTAGAATACACTTATGCCTTCAAAACAGTCTCTCGGTAAGAGTGCCGTTTATAGTCTTTGTAAGTCAACTTGAGCCCTGAGGAAATTTTTGGTAATTGCAAATCAGGTTTCTAGAACTGCTAGCTCAAAAGAATGACCCTGCTGCTCTGAGAGGTATTTCTGAACAACTGAAATAGTGTTTTGTGCATTTGAGATCTGTAGCGCCAATGACTCTTTATAGTACTTGCTTTATCTGTGTTATAATTGGTGCTGTAAATAACATGAATATAGCAAAACATCTCATTTTTGAGTGCACCTTATTTTCAAACAAAAGAATGCCTGGGCATGCTGTATTTTTCAGTTCTGATATTTAAATGCAGTTTATGTGCAATGAAGCAACATAAAAATTAGTAACTTAATATAGTTTGAAGAGTGCAGCTCATTGCCTTTCTTAGCACCCGCATCCTCCATACAACACATAAGAATCTGTTATTTTTTTTTTTTTCATTTTGCTACAGTCTCTCAAGCAATGACTCATTCCCATATGCCAAAAATCCAACTGGCTTTATTCTTGAAATAAATTAACATGACAGTTATTCTGAAAAATGAGCAATATTCCTGCTTCTTACATGTTCTCTAGAATACATCTGTTTTAGGAGGGTTATTTTCTGATGAAGTTTTTACATTTTAAGTGCAAGTACTCTGTGGCCTGAAAGCTAATGTGTGTGTCTGCAAGGATTTCTACAGGCGGAGATGAGCTGTTCATGATCTGAGCTGGCTGGACATAGGCCAGAACAGTCTGGAGTCTGTGTATCTGTGCTCATGCATTGCCGTGTCTGAGCACGGTGCACCTACAGACCTTCCAAATGAGAACTGGTTGGGTTTTGCCCAGCTTGCTCCCAGGATGATGTCTGCAGCTACTGGCACATATGTACTCTTTATTTAAGTTTGTGCTGACCTAAGCAGTAGTTGCTGACTGCGATGGGTGCTCCTGGACGGCATTGCTTGTTTAAACAAAGATGAAGTATGGAAATAGAGAAAAATTATAACCTCAGGTGGGAGAAGGATGTGAATAAATGTGTATAAACGCTTCCACTGGGACAGCCCAGCTATGATTGTGCCCATGCCCAATATTTATGGAAAAATGCTCACTTTAAAAATAGTGATAACCCTGGGTTACTTTTGTCTTATTTTTTTTATAAGCCTCAAAATTGTTACTTCTAATATGCTGAAAGAAAGAGGACTTTAATATGGATGTTTCTATAAGCAGTTTGCTAGCCACCAATCCTCTTTTTAATTAGTCATTGAACAGACTAATCAGTCTGACACCAGTTCCAAGATTTAACTGCTAAAGCCAGGTGGCGATTTAGGAAGGAAGGGGAAATGGAATGAAAAACTAAAGTTAAAATCACACTAAATTAACATTTGTTTTTAAAATATATCCCTGCTTTAAAAATATATACTGTTTTGCCATTTTCAAAATGAGTTATTTCACTTTATAAATGTTAAAGCATTGTATGTAAAATCAAACTTTGTTTTAAAACAGTTCAGTTGAAAGAGAATTAAACCACTAAGTGAAACAGATGGAGATTATAGTACTTGATCAGACAATTGAGGCGTTTCCACATGTGTTAAAATACCAGTTCAGCATAACTGGCATTATTTACATTAATTTCCAAATATTTATATCTTAACCAGTTCTTTTTTTGCTGTGTTTCAGGGATTAGGTTCACCACTTGAACCTTTGATCTCTGATACCATTTCTGCACACGCTTGCACTTTCTGTTGTGATAGTTTTCTCTTTTCTGACTTACTTTATGCCTGAATCATATAAATATTTTTTTTCCTAACTTCCTGTTTTAGCTTAGTTTCTATTGCTTCACATTTCCTGTCCTGTTTCAGACACCCTGTGTGTATTGGACATAGTTACACATACCCCTGTGAAAAATCAGCGCAACGTACCTTACATCTGAATACAGGAAAAAGAGAGGAAACAGCATTTTGAGATGATCACCTGCAATGTAGGGCTCCTTACATATATAATTTGACAAACTCCAGTAATGTTGCAGTTTTTCAGTAGGTTTCACCCGGTTTTCATTCCCCTGTAGTCAAGTGCCAGGCCAAAAGCTGTATATTTGGTAAGAATTTTGTTTTAAGGCCTGCCAGGAAATAAGAGGGCTTTTATTACTGAATGATTCATCAGTGCAGAAGTTGTTTTGGCCCTGCTGGAGTATTTTGTATGATGCAGAGATAATTGCCACTGTTGTAAAATATTTTCATTGAGAACAGTTGACATAAAACACTGCACAGAAAGTGATCTGTCAGCTTTGCTGTTTGGTGAATCATAATGTGTTGTATATTTTGACTTTCTTTTTGCTTGAAAGATCTCTGTGAAGATTAAAAAAAAGTAAATTTTCTCTATTTGTACTTTCAAATACAAAGGTGGCATTTCATATGAGAGTTTAAAAGTTGCTCTTGTTTTTTCTATTTCTCAGTTTAATGGATGCTTTAGAGAGAGGAGCAACATATAAGAAATATGTAAATTTATTTTTGTGACTAAATGTTTTCATCTTTTAAAGCTGAAAAGTGGTTGGAGCTGAGTTCTTTCACTTTTTGTGGGCTAAGTTCTTTCACATTTTAAAGCCAAAATCCTGATGTTTTACTGAACTGAATGTATGTGGAATTTGGGCACAAATGTTGAAGACTGAGACATATAGTAATTTTTAATAGTAACTTTTGCAGCTACCTCCCTTGTCTGCCAACTGTGGAGCTGTGTCCCTTCCTTAGCATGGACAAGCCCAGTGATAACAGTTGGTGTCTTTATAACACAGTGGTACATGATGTAGGAACACATCCTATAAAAGGCTTTTCAGAAAATGTTGTTTGTGGAGGGCTGAAGAATGGTAGAGTCAGCAGCTTTGGAGCCATATAGTCCAATTCATTTGCAGTGGAGCAAACAGTCAGTGTGACAGCTATGAAGTTCCTCTCCAAGCCATATCAAAGGTTTGGCAGGCTGCATTTTGGAAACATACCTGGAATCTGTATGCTAGAATGTGTGCCCTCTTCTTCATACTGAGGCTTTTTCTGCTTTTCATGTACTATGGGCTCTTTCTTGAAAGGAGCCACTTGTAAATGAAGTAATTTTTTTCAAGAAATTAGTAAGACTTTACATAAAGGACTGAGTGTGAATCTTTCATCCCAGCCCCTTTATAATCCAATGCCAAGGTTTCCCTCAGTGGTAGACTGGTTGTTGCAGATATTTGACTTCTATATGGTTTCTTCAAAAGTCTGTGACAAAATGTTTCATAAACAAATAAATGGCCTGTCTGACAGCAAACCTGCAGCAAATTAAGCTGTCTTCAGTGCTTCTTCAGTACATATAATTGAGTAAGTACAATGTACATATAATTGAGAAAGTACAGTACATATAACTGAGAAATTTCTGACAGAAAGTCAGAACCTGGAGACTAAATACTGTTGTCTAAAGACAAAGTACTATTCTGCTCTGATCTTTTTGGCATGTGGCCTTTGGCTGTTGCATTAGTTTTGTTGTAATGAGTGAGAACATCAGAAAATAGATGAAGAACCCTCTCTTCTTCTGCCTGAATTCTGCTTCAGAGCCCCGGGAATGTAGGTGACCACAGTAACATTCCCATAAGCTCTACTTGGATGTTAAAGCATAACTTCATTCTCTAAGAACAAAGAAACCCAAAATAAGCTCCAAGGTTGCTATTTGAATGTCTGATACATCCTTGAATTTGCTGGTCGTAATGTCTTTGTGAATGTAATATGAACAGAAATGTTTGAAATTAAAATGTACCTTCAGTTTATAAATCATCCACGGTTGCAAACAAAAGCAAAACACATCTTCTTAATTTTAATTATGTATATATATACACATGCTCATATATACATATGCAGGTGTACCTACAGTAATATTTTTTTTCTTTTAGGTGTATGCTGAGAGTTCTGGACTCCTTTGGAACTGAACCAGAGTTTAACCATGCCCATTATGCCCAGTCTAAAGGCCACAAGACACCATGGGGAAAGTGGAACCTTAATCCACAGCAGTTTTATACAATGTTCCGTAAGTATCCCTGTGTTTATAAATAATTTGGAGCTTTAAAAAGGAATACTGTCATTGAGAATAATTTTTATATTATGAAACACAAGTTCATGGTTTATTATTTATTATTATGTCCATAAGTGTCTGTAGACTGCAAAAGCACTGTCATGCTTTCATCCAACGATCAGAAAATATCAAGTTAATATAAATAATGGTAGGGAACTTTATTCTCAGGGTAGGTGTGGAAAGTGGCGATTGGCTTTTCCTTCAAGTGCCAGTGAGTTTGGTTTTGTTTTACCTTCTGAAATCCTGCTATGGAGCGTTAGGTTTTAAGGAACTTGCTAGATTGCGTTTTTATAAACTGCACTCTGGCATTTCATCATGTTAAACTGAAGTTTGTGACTATGGTGTTGAATTTCTGCTTTTTTCCCCACAACAATTGAGGGACATAAATCCTGCATTATTTCTTTGAGTTCAAGAGTAATAAACTAGGACTCAACAAAAATAATTTTTGTCTCTATTTTTTTTTTGTGATTTTTTTTTGATTTCTTAAAATTTCGCCTATTTTTCAGAGGTGAACTGATTCACATTTTTTTGCCAGCAGTATACAAAGCTATTGAAAAACAAGTAGTAGATTTCAGAATTGTTGTAGATCTTTGAAGCGTCTAAGGTAAGCTCTGCTGGTGCACCAAAAAAAAAAAAAAAAAAAAAAACAACCACCAAAACCCCACCAAACTAAAAAAGAAACATAACACAAAAAATATAAATTCTGGATAAATTAGGTCAGATTAAATGGTTACAGTGACCTGCTCCAGCCCTGGTCTTTGACTTTATTGCACTAAGTTCTAGAATCAAAGGATCTTTCTCTTGCATGTAGTACTTGCAGGCAAGTTTATTCTCTCTGAAAGGTACAGAAAGATTCACTACTACCAGCTAGCTTGAGGGTAAGTGAGGAAGGAGGAAAGTGCATGCTGTTGTGTGCAGCAACTTCTCAGCCCAAGTCTGTAAAGAAACACTCGGTAGTGACCAGCCTGACCTCCAAAGCTTGGTGAAGGTCCCTGCCTGAGACTAAGGCCAGGGCATGCACTGTTCTCTCTCATCAGACTTCATAGTCAAGCCTTTCAAACTTTTCTGCTTTTCAGAGCAGAATTGTAGGTGCTGCTGTCTGGTTTTCATGCTTTTGATTTCGGTTGCCCTGTAAAGTTCTTGAGAGAGGCATATTTTGTCTGTCAACATTTGCTGTGCAAGTCTTTCCAGAGAAATATAAGTGAAGGTTGTTTAAAAGATAAAAGGCTGCATTCACAGTTGTTTTGAAGCAAGTAACAAAACGTACAGTTGGGAAATGTGACTTGGAAGTGGTTGCAGAGTTTGCATCTGGACATCAGTAAGCATAGCTTGTTCCATATCCACATGGTTCACTAATATTTATTGATTTATGTCCTAAATGGAAAAGGAGCTGAAAGCTCAGTCATGCTGTGTTTAAGTTGTCCAGCTGTTGGGAAATTTGTGTGTGAGGTCCTCTTCAAGACAGCACCAAGGGTGATGATCCACTAGAGGAAAACAGTTGTGTGAATACTTGTGGTACAGCTGTGTGCATGAGTGCCTCAGTCCCACTCCATGAAATGCAGAAGAAAGTAAATCTTCTCTGTAGAGAAGATCTCTGTTGTGGCAGTATAGACTGCTGTTACAGTCTCTCGTTCAGAGCAAATAGCTTCATAATGCATTTTCAGTAGAGTACGACTATACTGGAATTTCAATAATAAACCATATCCAATTTTTACTACTCGAAATTACTGCGAGCTTTCCTTTACAGGTAAAGTGGTCAACAGATTGCAAGCAAACTCCTTCTGAAGCAGGAGTGATTCCAGTGCTATAGATTATTCAAGGATTTTGCTTCATTTTGTACTAGGTGCAGAAGAGTTGATGTGTTTTATGATATTTAAAGTTTATTTTTGTTTTTTGTTCTCTGCTGAAGACATAGTACCATCTTTATGGGGTTGTGATTGAAAATGCATGTTATGCATCAGTAAAGATTTTGCAACAGATTGGAACCTTGGACAGCTTCCCAGGGTCCCCAGACTCTGTTTTGAGAACTCTGATTATAAGGGCAGAAAATTATTACTGAGGAACAAGAAAGCCATATTCAAACCTGTGGCATATTACCAAATGCTTGACCGCTCTCTGAGCTTTCTAGAACTGTGAGAGGTTTTTTTATTTAAATTCTGTATGCAAAACAACAGCACTGGTACTTTTAAAACTGCATTATCTTGCTTAAAAATCCATCTGAGTGCTGCCTGTCAGAGATGTTTGAGGCACTGAATTCCACCAGTTCCAAGTGCTAACTTTAACAAAGGTTTTTTTTTTTTTTCTTTTGAGTGTGTACTGCTTTGACTCTCCTTTGAATGCAATCTCTCATCCAAAAATATGAAAGGATGGAAGAATGCCCCTTTCAGCCAAATTTGCAGTGTGCCATTTGCTGTGCTAAATTCTAAAAAGTCCTTGGGTCTAAGTGAGTGCCTTGCTGTTGCTGAAGCATTTTTTGTGAAAAACAGTAATTGTCATTTGAAAGACTAAATGTAATGGCAGAGGGAAGTGTACACTGTGTATGGTTTCTCTGTTCTACTGCATTATCCAGTTGGCTGATTTTCAGGAATCAAAAAGCAAAACCTCATAGTTATAACAGATTTATTTTTTAATTTTTATTTTTTTTAGAACTGACCATAGGTTTAGCATTGTACGTGTCATAAGTGCTTGAGGCATTGTCTTTGTGGGTTGTTGTTGTTGTTATTTTGGGGTTTTTTCACTTTGTGAAGTGTGGTTAGTAAAAAGTTGTCATCTTGTGTGACAGAATTTAAAAGGGGGGCTTACAGAGGAGATGCTAGCGTTTATCGCAGCCTATTTCTATGTAAACTTGTGAGGCTGTGACACACTTCTTATAGGTGCCAACATCCCCCATTGGAGTAATTTTTATGTAGTAGGAATGGATTTTTACCTGAAGCCTTGAAGGTTGGAGTCCATCCCTGGAATTAAAAACCCTGTCTACAAAAGGAAAGAAAACAAAACAAAAAAACCCCTTAGTTTTAATGAGCTTTTCAGTCTGTGTCTCTAAAGGAGGGGAACAGAGGCTAGTATTGCTGGATGTCACTGCTGGAAAAAGACCAATAGAGGCTAAAAATAATATAGAAAACTAAGAGTAAATTGCAGATTTTTTTCATGCACTTTGTCTGGGCACTGGATTAAACAACAATTTTGCTAAGTTCAGTTGTCATCTTTCAATATTTCATGATAAGATATATCTGAGTGAATTAGTGAAATCTGTATTCTGATGGGCGTAGTGTAACTTTGTAGGCTGGCAATTGGCACAGATGCATAATGTGCAATGAGTTGGATGGCTGTTGTTAGCTCTTCCAATATAGGAGGTGAACCCAAGAGATCTACTAGAATTTGTTTATGACATCAAGCAACATACAGCTTAGTCAAAAGCATAAATCTAGGGGATTTTCCAGTTGTTGGTATTGCATCTCTGAGATTGTCAAGCTGGATTTCTTCTGGTTCTCTTATCTCTAATAATAAAATAAAGCTCAGCACACAAAAAATCATTTTCATTGGCTTCAGTCCAGTTGCACAATTTTTATTGCCAGAAATGAGCCAGAAAATAGCTGCTTACTTCAGTAGACATATGTAGCAGGACTTAAAATGAATAAGAACTATTTTTGATAATAAAGCAAGCAAATGTGTCTCTCGGTATGAATGTGACGGAAGCGATCTGTTGAATAATATGTTCCTTATACTTACTTTTATGACAACATTCACACTTTTATAACATTAACTGATACTTTAAAAGGTTTTGTATATGCTCTGTTTCTTGCAGCTCACACTCCAGATAACAGCTTCCTTGGATTTGTGGTAGAGCAGCATCTGAATTCCAGTGACATTAAACACATTAATGACATCAAAAGGCAGAATCAGTCTCTCGTTTATGGCAAGGTAGACAATTTCTGGAAGGTGAGTTTTCTGTACTCATATACTTGAGCAAATTTATTTTGATCAATATAATAAAGCATAACTCTAAATTTAAACATATCTCTTCTCTCTAAATCTATTAAGGTCTTTTTTTCTGAAAATAAACATATTTAAAGATTCAATTGAACATTTTGAGGTCTTTCTGAAGAGGAAGCTTCTGTCTGGATTGATGTGGATTCTTTGCTCTTTATACATACTTTTCTGATAGACTAAAAAGTTTTTATAGTCTTGATATCACAATAATTTTGGCAAATGCAGAAGCTGTTAAAAGTAATGGGAAATTGAAGGTGTCAGAGGCTTTGTGAACTTTAATCAGTCATAAGCAAATGTGTCTTTCAATTATTATATCTACAACCAAAAATTTTCTGCATTTTTAACTGGAAACTGTGTTTCACTGAAGAGCCTAGGAGTGTTCCATCTCATTTTATCTCCTTGTTATAATATCAGAGTTTTGTTGCTTAAATATTGCAATTACTGCATTGTCTCCATCTGCAGACGAGAGTTGCAGAATAACAGCACCAAGGTTTGGTCGTATTTTCACCAAGTTAAAGTATATTGTGTTGTTAAGCTCACAGTGGTCTCTACTTTTTGTCCACTGTCCTTTTCTGGAGCTCCTTCCAGGCTGCCAGACCTGGGAGTGTGTCTCTCGTGCAGTTTTCAAAGAAAAGCGATTACCTACTAGTAACTGGATTTCTTCCAAGTCACCTCTAGCTCTGTGTGACCATATACTGCCTGCCTTCCCTCCTGCCTCAAAAGACCTTATATTTTAAGCCTCTTTGTCAACTGGAAAAGAAACTGATCAGTACATGCTGTGCCATACACAGGACCAAATGATAGTGTGAGAGCACCTGTGTCTCAAGTTTTCTTCCCTTTTATCCTCGTTGTCCTGAGAATAACCATCTTGCACAGTGTTCTGAACCACAGAAACAACATGTAGTCTGGTAACTGAGATTATAAGGAATACATTCTTGAAAAATGATATCTAGGAGTAAATGGTCCATCTGTGAGACAAAACAAAACAAAAACTTGAGAAATGTGAGAATGTTGCCAGTGTTAATGAAAGCAGAAAGATACTGCTGAATGCTTCTTGGCTTCTGTGCTGAGAAAAATGAGTATGTTAGCTGTGCATTGTCGGTTGCGATCTCTCAGATTTATATTTGACCTTATTGCACTAAGCCATGTAATCTGTGTCTTAAAAGGAAATTTCGCTTTGCATTGTAGAAAATACTGTTATTCTGTTTGGCTTGTGGTATAGAATGACTTAGTGTGCCCCTGTCTGCAGTCTCCTCTTCTGTCTGCAGAAGGATGGAGCAGAGCTGGGATCCTCTCATTTGAGTCTCTTCTAGCTGAGGCTCTTGTACTTTTAGTTCCTGATGTTATTCCCAGTCTCTCAGGAACAGTTGCATGTAGTAATTGTCTATATTTCCTGACCTGATTTGTAGGGCATGTCAGCAGAACAACCTGATGAATACTGGTTGGATTTAAGGAACAAGACAGTTGCTTAGTCAACCAGGGTTTTTTCACTGACGTATATATCTTTCTCAGTTTGTTCAGTCTGCATGAATTCAGAAATATGTATTAATAGCTTATATGCCCAGAAGGGAGATTTGTGATTGCCTAGTCTGAGATTCTGTATGACACCCAGGATATTCATGGGCTGATTAAGGCAAAAACATGGCTTTTTTGGGAAAAGAACATCCAATCTTGATTTTTAAATAGCACACAATGGAAACCCCGCTACTTCCTATGGTAAAATCCTTGAGTAATTGCCTTAGACTCCCTTAAGACTTTGTATTATTTCTGGTACAGATTGCCAAATGGTATTTTCCAGTCTTAGTAGTAGCCATAGACTTTCTCTCCTGGACTGATGATGAAACTTTCTGTTCTGTGCCCCCGCAGGAATGTATAGGTTGAGGTCAAAGTTAACCTGTAGACGTCTCCTGGAAAACCTGTATATGCTGAACCACCAAGAGCTCTGTGCTTTCTAATCCTTTAGTGTTCGCATGTGCCTGTTTTCTCTGAACTGTCTCAAGATTGTTCACTTTCATCTGGAAATATGGACATTACTAAAGGGCACGTGTGCTGCACCAGCACCAAATCAAAAAGAAATACTTACTGTATGCACTGTAACATATATCTCCTTTTCACCATTAGGAACTTGTGTTTAGATGACTTCTCAGCCAAGACCCTTGCATCATTTTTTAGAACTGCTGCTCTTTAAGTCACTGCTTCATTTCTATAAATGTTGTTTCTTCCAATATCTATGACTTCATACTTGACCATATTAAAATGCTTACTGTAAGCCTGTAGCATCAAGCACATTAAAACTCTAACTTGCAGAGTGTGATGGCAGTCATGCCCATATGCACTGATAACATAGAGTGTAATCGTTGCAGACAGGTTTTGAATCGGTAACAATGTAGGGTGTCTTATCTGGAGTGATAAAATCCAATTCTTGTGATCAACAGAAAACCTGAACTAATCTTGTATCTGTGTAATTTGCTTATTTCATGTTTCCTTCATTGTCTCTGTTCAGTACTCTTTTTGTCTGCCGCCATGGCTTGCACTGAACCCGACTAATCTATTTATGCTACTACTTCTTTTTATATTGCACATGGGCAATTAACAAAAAGTGTAGTCTCCACAGAATACGTGTCACTGCTGGGTCTGAGCATTCATTAGAGAAGTACAGTATGAAGGGCAGAGCATTCTGGTACGCAGACTGGGGTGCTCTTGGGGAATATCAGTTGCAAATAAATTGTTTCATTTTAAACCAAGCAGGTTGAAATGGAACTGGGGTACGCACAGGACCTTTTTTCGCTGTAGGTGGGACTAGAATAGCTAACTGCCATTGTGATTTTATATAGTCATGGGCATGGGTCATTTCCTGCATGTGGCGAGGCACATTAAAAAAAAAAAAAAAAAAAAAAAAAGATGCCAAGTTACTTGTCATTTCATCTTTTCTAGAAATCACCATATTCCCAGCTCTGCTGCATGGCTGGGCAGAGATGGTGAGGCTAGCTCAGGTGACCCACTTAAACTGTGTAAACTAACTGGGTTATTGTAGCTAAAGAGAATTATGAATTGCTTCCAGGCAATATTCTGTCTGCTCACATCATTTTATGTGGCAAAACTCCGATATGAATATGACGAGTAATGGGGGGAGGAATACAGTGATGACTTCTGTCAGCTCTCGCTGGATACGGAAAAGAATGTCAGCCCGTGTCCTGCGACCGGTGCTGTTCATCCCATGTCACAGTCAGCAAGGCTGGGTACATCTTGCTGGAGGAAGGAAGGGTGTAAGCTGCAGAGACTGTAGGATACATCTTGTTTACTTCCCTCTGGTAACTATATCAGTCTGAAGTGGGTTGAGGATTGCAAATAGGAGGCTCTAAGGAATTTCACTAGATTTCTGAAGGTTTTCCTTAGAGGTAAGCTATCAAGGGCAACATTTGCCATGTTTCGGATGTGTTTATTGTAATCAAGTTTTGGGTTTTTGTCTGGGATTTCTGATAGTACTAAGGAGTAAAGAGAGTCCTATCTCTGCCTGAGTGAGAAGCAAGAAATTAATAAAATGTGAATGAAACCCACAATGTTCTTCTTTGTCAGAATTGGCTTTAATTACAGAATATTTCAATTAAAATAGAATGTTTGAAGCCTTTCATGTTGTCTTAGCTCCTGTTTCAGTCTAAGTCTTTTCTTTGTTCTTCTTCCTGCAACTTTCTGTTATACTATTCCAATATTTTTACCCCTAATCCTAGAAAGAAGAGTCAAGATTCATTTTACACTATTTTCTTTTTCTTTTTTTCTGGGGTGCTGTGAGAGAAGTCAGAATTTTGCTTATGTCAGAAAATGCCCATCAATGCATAACATGCAATTGTATGATGATTGCTGTAGCAGATTTTATTATGGTGTATTGGAGATGCCTTAAAATATTTATATATTTAAAGGCAAAATGCGTGAGTTTGTTACTAAAGCCACTTGACAAGATGGGCATTCTTCTTAAATGTGTACTGTCTGCATAACCAGTTCTGAAGAATCGGAGTTGGGAAGTGGTTACCTTTAGCTTGTTCTCGATGGGAAAGTATATAATGAAGTTGTTCTTACTTCTCTTCTTTATAGCTCCGTGTGACACATGTAGTTTCCCTGTCTTATGCCCTGTTGCATGACGTGGGGAGAAGTCAGAGAGAAGAATTGTACTTCTAGGAATTGCTTCTGTTATGAGCAGAGATCAGTGTCTCCATGTTGGCAGTGTTGCCTTTCCCTTCCTTCTGATTGTTTTTTGTCCTCATATTTAGCAACAGACTTTGGCTGAACATTTCACTTGTTGTTTTTTTTTAAGCTAAAAGAAACATAAAGGAAGGGGGAAAAGATCCTTCTCACCTTTTCTCTCCCACATGGTCAGTGCACTCAAACTTGTCTGGTGGTGTTCTTATTTTGTCTTCCTCCAAGTTTGCAGCAGCACTGTGGTCTTATCTATTGATTGAAACTTACCCTAGTTGCTGTCACCAGGCACCAAGAGCACTGTCCTGCTTTATGCCACATAACATATTGAAAAGAGCCAGACACTTTAGTTCAGCGATATCTCTGAAATGCACCGTTTGCTTCTGAAAGAAATAGGGATCAAAAAAACAAATAAATCAATGAGCAGCTATAAGTGCAGTAAATCATACGTGTATGTATGCTTTTGAAGGCTTATTCTTCAGTATCTATTGTGAAAATCAGAATTGCATTTATTATGAAGAAAGAAAGAAAAAATGTTTTCTGTGAATATTTACATTTCAGACAGGTCAGTGATCAGCTTCTGTTTTTGTAGAACTCTGCAGCTGCAGAATGAATTAGTGAGATCTGACAATGCTGATTAACGCAGCCGTCTAGTGGTATTTGATTAGCACAAAACCAACACAACCTTTTCTTCCTGTGGTCTCGCTTCCTGGTTTTTTCTGTATGCCTGTACTTTTCTGCTTCAGCACTTATACTGTACAAGTGTGTCTCATTGTTAGGTCTAGAAATTTCCATTCAAAGGGGAGGAAACTCCTGGTTAGGCGTTAATGTGTGTTACATGACAATGAAATTGGAGAAAAATGGAGAAAATTTCATGGATGAAGAACTGCAAGAAATGATGAATGAAATAGATAAAGATGAGGATAGGGAACTGAATAAACAGGATTTCTGGCAGATCTTGAAGAACCCAAGTCTTTACTGAAATGTTTTATTCATGCTTTATGCAAAGGTTATATATGTGCAAATAAATAACGTATATATATATATAGTGCTAATGTGTATTTTATGCAGATATATGTGGTAGGTGCCTAGCAAAGAAGCCATAAGTGGACATTCAGGGCAGAGCAAAAGTATGTCAAAGTTACATAATGCTTTCTTTCCATATTCTCTCTCTTTCCAGCTCAGGGTATTTTCTGAGTCCATTTGTCTATTGATAAAATGACTGCTGACACACTTTTGAGACCTGGGTAAGAGGTCACTTCAAAGTACTTGTCTGATCATGACCCTATGACTTTTTTTTGCCTCCACAACATTATTTGTCATGGAGTCTCTGTCTTGGTGTCAGGACCACCACCACCACGTGGTCGCAACACCGCCTCCCCCCCCCACTCCTCTCCCGGTAAGATGGGGGCAAATAAGAAAAAAGTGGAACCTCCTGAGTTGAGATAACGACAGATTTTTAATAATACCACACGAGGAAAGCAAAAGAAAGAAGAATATAACAATAAGACAAGATATAGAGTACAATGGAAACACTGATACAATGAAAATCTCACCACCACGAGCTTCACAAAAGAGACCCCTCTCCCGGCTAGCTTCCCCTTATATCCCGGGCATGACGTCAGCATGGTATCGAATATCCGGCTATGCCCAACTCCCAGCTTCTGCGAAGAATTAACCCTATCCCAGCTGGACCCAGGACAGTCTCTCAAATCTCTGACCTGCTGCAGGAGGAACCATTAACTTTTGGGTTTTTCTAAACCTGCCTCCTACTAGCTCTGTTTGGCTTCCTTTGTAGCAGGACATGATGAATAATCAGTCACTCTCCGTGTGCTTTATGCCAATTATGGTTTTGTAAACCTTTCTCTTAGTCTGCCAAGTTGTCTTTTCCAAGCTGAAGAATCATAAATGTATTCCTTACAGGTTGCTGTATGTAGTGATGGAAACTATTCTGTAGCTTGGAACCTTCCCTTTCAGAACCACATCCAGTGTTCTTGGCTTCTTTTTGACAAAACGAACCAGAACCACAGCAGTGTTCAAGGAAGGAGAAGACGGTGTGTTTATAGAAAAGTTCAATGATTTTCCATTTATTTTTCTATTCCTTTGCAAATAATTTCTGTCATTTACTTGGTCGGTGGGTGGACTGAATGCTACTGAACATTGGACTGATTTTTATTCACGGACCGGCTAGGACTGGTTTTCAGCACATGCATCACTTTGTTTATTTACATTGAATTTACCTTCCTAGTCATTCTCCTTCCTAGTCACGCAGTCCCTTAGGTTACTGAAGGGGCTTTTTCAAAAGCTTTACAACCACTAGTGTTCACTATTGTGATGTTTTTCTGCAACATTCTGAAGTTAATTTAATTTTTCCTGCTCTATTATGTATTCACTGCACACTATAACTTCTCTGTTCTCTTTAGAATGCTGACTATTCATTCACAAGGGTGATTCCCCTCTATCCCAAGGAGACTTTGTTCTTTTAATAGCTTTTAAAGAGGGGTGTTTTTTTAAAAAAATCATTTTTTTCAAAATCAACAAAGAATTGGCTATTGTAATTTTGTTGGGTTTATATGGTTATATAGTTAACACTTTATTTGAGTTTCAGATAACTTGTTTGGTGCAGAATTCACACTGGCTCATCATGAAGCACTGAATCCTCTCCAGATCCATTTATAAATGGAGTACTCTGTGTTTTAAGTACTCTGTGGCTAGCAGTTTGAAAGTTTCATATTTGAGCTCCAAGAGACATCACCTTCTCTTTGTGATTTACCACTATCTCTCTTTAACCCTCTCAATATTGTTGTACATTGAATTCTCCAGCATTTGTGCTGTTGTCTAGTTTCTCTGGTAGAACAGGATTTTCATTATTCAGGAATGTTTTGAAAAGTCTTTGAGAGTGTGACACTTCTCGAAAAGATTTTCCAGTCTTACATTTGTGTCTCAATCGCCATTGTCATGCACTGTATATACACACTAGGCTTTGGCTAACCTTGGACTTGACGCTTTGGGCAGATAAGCACTCAAGTCTTAGGACTTCTACACTGAACAGTATGCACTTAAGACATACACAAAGATCTCTCCCACTACCTGTTTTTATGCGTTATGCTTCTCCAAGCTTTATAAAATCATTGTGTTCTGACTTTTTCAATGTAAGAAAGTGAGACTGGGTATATGGGCTGTTTTACATGCATTTTGCACTTTGGACTTTTAACCCATAAACCAGTTTAGGACTCTGAGTCAAGCTTTTCTGTTATATAGTTGACCTGTAGCTCTGCATACGTGGTGCGCAGTCTCACCCCGTGCTGAATTTCTGGTGTCCTGTGGGGATACCTGAATGCTCTGAAACTGCAGAATATTGTGATAACCTTGGACTGCCAGACTGATGGCAGAGTTGTTAATTACCGCCATCTACCACATCAGCAAAACTAAAAGCAGACTTTAGTTCTTAATAGATCGTGTTTCTACCAGATATTTTTGTAGCTTTTATACTTAAATTTTTCACCCACCAAACTTAACATTTCAGCTTTTCAGACTGTGTCTTCTTATCAACATTAAAGACTTATCAGACAGTTGTCATTTGATTTCTTTGATGAGAAAGAAAAGCCTTATCACGGTGCTTTTAAAAGTAGGTGGAAATAATTGAGGAACAGTAATAATAGTTCTGCAGTTAATGATCAACAAAAAATACTTTCCTGAATGGCATGTTTATTTTAGCTGCTGAAAAATTGTTTCAGAAAAGGTTTGTATGACTGTTACTCACTGTTACTCTTTCAGTTTCATTCTGAGAAGAAATAAATTGCTTTTTTTTGGTGTGGTTATCTTTCATGGCCGAAGTCTAGATTTGCAATATGGACAGCAGGCATGGCTGAATAGCGCAGCCTGGTACAAACTCTGCAGCGAATGTTGATTTTGCGTTACTAACCAGCGGCACATGATCTTTTACTTTTGAATTCATTTTGGAGAAAGTAAAAATCTGGAGTTTACTGTCAAATTATTTAAGATAAAAGAATCTTTATATCTGCAGGCAAGCAAGCAAACTCAGGAGTGGACTAGCAGTTGAAGGAATGTTGGTATTTTGTTTACAAATCACATTTCTTGATTTATTTACTTGTAGACTTTCTATTTATAAATGCCGTATTTATCCTCTCTCATTTTCTAATTCAGTGTTTTTAATGTTTAGAATTGAATGGTGTGTCCTGATTTTTTTTGTGAAGTGGCTTATTACAGTATATACTTTTATGATCCAAAATAACACTTTTTCTACAAGGACTGTGGAAATACAGGACTACTTAAATGCAAAAGGAGACAAATGTTAGTGACTTTTCTGTAAGGCCTGAGGTGCTAATGCGAGTTTTAAGAAGTGATAGTGTTCATTCACCTAGGTCTGATACCTTATTGCTCCTCCAAGATTTGAACAGACAGGATTTTCACCCGTCTACTTGCCCTTTCGATGAACTTCAGTAAAATTGTTGGCCAGCTTTCACACAGGGCTGTGGAGGAACAGTGTGCAGAATTTACATGACAAAAATAGTGAGTGGAAGTAGAATTCTTAAAAACTCTCACGCTGCCAAGAAGTACAGAAACTTGTTGCCTGATTTTAGAGCTATTACTAAGACTATGTGCAAATATTGAGGGAAAGTCTCTCTGATCTGTGCTGTGTACTGGCTGCAAATACAGTGTACAGCTAATTGCTTTTGGAATGCTAATAGTCTTTAAAACTACTACCTCCAAAAACATATGGCATTGAAAATTAAAGTAATTCTTGTTTGCAAACTCGGATGGTATACTATTTTATTTTTTTTTTTTTAGTGAACACTAAAGCCGTTACTCTTTTCTGGGTGTTTTCCAAAATGTCTTGAAAACTTTCAGTAAGTGGAATATTTGTAGATATCTCATGGGACTCAGATACTAGGTATTCAGATAAAGATGTGCAATCAGTTGTTCAGCTGGCAAGAGTGCATCTTAGTAAGGTGGGAGTCACCCTTTTCTTCACAAAGAAGATAAACTATAACTAATTATTTTGCATCCCTGAAAAAAACAGTGAAAAATCTGATATTTCAAAATGAGTGTTTTTAGTATTTTTAGGCCAAGTATTGGTTAGGCATGCTTAGATTACAGCTATCCGATTGTGGCCTAGTTTTTGTACAATTAGAAATCAATAGGACCTTGGGATTGATTTATTTAAACCTACATTATGAATAAAAAAGCTGCTGTTTCCTTCTGGTCTAGTAGAAAACAAAACTAATAATGTAATGAAAGATCAAATATTATAGAAATCGTATGAGAATGAGTGAACGTCTTCTCTTTCTGGTGTTTATGGTACGGGAGATAAAAACCAGCTCTGATTGAATGCTACTGCTTGAAATGTGGAAAGGCTGAAAATATTTTATTGTTGTTATTACAGGATAAGAAGGCTTATCTGGACATCATCCACACCTATATGGAAGTCCATGGAACTGTTCATGGGACGAGCACTATTTATATTCCCAGCTACGTAAAAAACCATGGTATACTCAGTGGGCGGGATTTGCAGTTTCTACTGAGAGAAACCAAAGTAAGTTTGTCAAGAGGGAGTAGTGGCAAAAATAGCTACAGATCGACAGTATCTGAAGTGCATGCATTTTACCTCCTACGAATGAGCTCCTGATTTTAAAACATTGGAAAAACAAATGACCAAATATAAAGGAGTTTAAGTTGTCTTCTGTGTGCTAAGAATACGTTTTTCATCAGGTCCATGTTTTGTGGATTGACAGCTATTATTAGAAAATTGGTGCAACAACCTGCAGTCACAGACACATTTAACAACCAGCTTGCGAAATATGGATAAATGCATTTTTCATTTTCTTAAATGTGATATTCAGCTCAGGGAGCTTATCAGCTGAGAATGTGCTTTGTTTTCCATCCCTGACAGGAAAGTTAGGTAATATCTGAAAGCTGTACAATAGGCATGCTGGCTCTGCCCTACCAATGACTTTAACCTAGAGTGACCCTGCTCTCTTGGGGAGCAAAGAAGAAAGGCAAGCACTTCATTCACCATTCAGCTCCTTCCTCTGCTTCAGTTGTGCTGAGAGAGCGAGCAAGAGTGTGCTTTTTGTGGTGTGCTTTGCCTGTGGCCCCGTAGTCAAGGGACTCGAGATAAGAGACACTATATACATTGAAATAAATAAACTTTTGTCCCCATAGCTAGAATGCTTTGTGGGGTTTTCTGTGCCCTTCCCATAATCTTTGTGGCACATTGCAACATTAAAACACTTTAGTAGATTACATTTAAATAGGATGTTTAACTTTCAGTTGGTGAAAGAAGTGGTTTATGTGTTTAAAATTAGAAAAATGTGTGGAACTGCACCACTTACTCCCAGTTGTTGATAGTTTCTTGCTGTGCTCTTCTACAGAAGAATCTATTAAAAAAAGAAAAGAAAAAAGCAAGCACCTCCCAGTCTTCCCACACGACTGCAGAGATCTCCTTTTTGAAATATTTGGGAAAATGATGGTAATTTGACATCTCTGTGTGACAGCTGTTGGCAAATTATGGCTTTTTAAAGGCAACCACTGTGTGTATGTACTTGATTCATACAGATACACATAATGTTGCAGATTAAAAAGTCAACATTTACTTTCGTCATAGATAATACTGAGATTACACAGCCTTTGCCTGTGTGGATGGAGTATGAAATCACTGTGTTAATCATAGTACTAATGTGGGAAGAATATTGACATTGTAATAACCCCGAGCACAAACAGTGACTTCTTTCTGGGGGGGGGGAAAAAAAAAAAATGTTATATTCACTAGGCTAATAAAATAAGCTAATGGACTTCCTATAGAATTACTGAAGACTAATTTAGAAAGTACGGTTCATAATAATAATAATTATGTTTGAGGAAGTCTTCCTCTATTTCATTATCAGCCATCTTACATGTGTTACCCTAGAAAGCTTGATTTTTCAATATTAAGTAGGTAGCTTATATTGTTGTTAGTGGTTATATTTGCTGTGCTCTAAGATGCAGTGTAAGGACACATTCAGTTTAGGACAAATTCAAGTTGATACATACGTATTATACAGCTCAGCACAGTGCAGTTATGTGGGGTTTGTGACACAGGAAGCAGCCAGACTAGTTTCACTCAGTTTTTGACTATTAATTGCAGTATCAGATGGAAGATACAATCTCGTGATTTTGAAGTACTCCTGAGATTAGTAAATTGCTTATTTTTCACAAATTGTATTTTTGTGGATCTATGCTCTACTGTTTTCAGAGTCCTACAAACATTTTAGATTTTGATGATTTTCTATACTACTGTTGTGCATTGTTTCCTTCCTAACATTGAGGAAAATCCTTTGAGAATTTGCTGCATTTATTAGTAGATAGCACTGAGAAACACATCGATGTGTTTCAGAACCCTGTGTCAGGAAGCCGGTGTTTTTATCACATTATCTTTTTGATGCAATCTTTCTTAATAAACTACATTCAATTTCTTTTAAAGTCTGTAAACAGTATTTTCATATGGTGTTTCTGAACTTCTGTTAGCAGATTTGCAAATGACAACAGCTATTTTCGTTTTAAGGAAATTATTTATTTATGATGCAGTCAGGCTAACAAAACTTTGACCGGATGATAGGCAGTTAAGAGTCCATCTGCTTCTCTTAATGCTTAGTATTGTCAGGAAAATAGGAGTGCAATGTATTTCTGATGTTGCAACAAAATGAAATGAAATTAAATATGGTGTAGTGCATCATGAATTTCAGTTATTATTCCTGTCTAATACTTACTTGTTCCAATATATCTAGTTTAACAGAAAAAGTAAAACAGCAGCATCCTGAGACTGAAAGTAGAAACTGAGATTTACCATCTAATTTGTTTGGACTTTTTCAGTGGGAGGTGGATTTTGGGGTTGTTTTTTATGTTGGTTTTTTTTGCTAGCTGATGTTCAGTATCTTGTAGGTACACTGGCTGTTCTGCCTTAGCATATGGTCGCCTCTGTGTTGCTCGACAGACATACTTGCTCTAAGTCTTGTTGCCTGTACATTCACAGTTTCAGATTTTGCTATCTTTCAAGAGACAATACTTTAACATAGCTTAGCATGAAACGCCACTCACCTGTCTCTACTGGCCATCTGCTGCGTGTGTGCGTCAATAGTGCTTATGTCAAATGGATCGTGGATCAAATTGCTGAAATAACTGCAGGTTTTCCACTAAAATCAGGCTGACTTGAATGGGAGCTTTGTGCCCCGAGGAGCCTCATGTATGTGTGCACATGCATCCCGTGATGTTCAAGGACGCTTTTTAATCATAATCACTTTAATCGCTAGGCAACGTGACCAGAGCCCCGTAATGAAGTTAGTTATGGGGTTTTGTCGCTAGACAATCAGTGTGCTGAAAGTGTGTGAATAATCGGAGCCGTAACTCGGGGATGGTAACATCTGTGGGCACAATGCTCACTTGAACCCTCTAGGCCTGCTGTTTGCTGTCTCCAGGCTACTACCTTTGCCTGTAGGCTTCCAGCAACTTTTGGATTTTTCTTTTTCTAAACATATGTGTTGAGACCCATGGGCAAGGATTGCCTTTCGTTGCTTGTGATTTCAACATTGTGTTAGTGAGTGTTTGTTAGGTCAGCTGACAAATGATCTAGTTTTTAGAAAGTCAGAGCTAAATAATAATTTAACAAATCACACAGTCCGGTGCACTTAGAAGCGGCAGTTCATGCTGCACTGCTTCGTTTTGCCCTCAGACAGCAAAATACTGATAGGTGATGGCTCAGTCATCTGATTCTTGATCAGAGCTTTGCATTCCCAAAATGTATTTGGTCTCTCTTCAGTGGTTGTTTTAGGACACGGTTATTCCCAAAAGCGTGCAGCTGCCATTTCATTCTGCTGTGCGTTCTAAAGCAACTCGTTTCAGAAGAAGTGCATTTTCCAAGCAGGAGGGGGCTGTTTGAGATTCATCATGGCTAGTTCAGCTGTGGTGTAGCGCATGACAAAAACGAGACATGTCAACAGTTCCTAATGAGAAGATGTAAAGCTATTCATCACGTCAGAGGAAAATAGGGTAGGCGAGCTGGCAGCCTTCCTGCCAACTTACCTGGCTTCTGGCCAAGTGGGCAGCTGGAGGAGTTGGACCAGACTCTCTTGGAAGAGCCAGTACTGAATTCTTGAGAAATATTCCTCTCTTCAAGAAAGTTTCAGATGCACCTTTTTACTTTGAGTCACTGTGAATTTTTGAGGATATTCAAATTCTTTTACTAAGTGGAATTTACTGTTGCTGAAGGGTGATTAATAAAAGTAGGAGCTACACCCTGTTTAGGCAGTTTGGGAAAAATCCTGTTGCAATGTTGGATAAGCAGAAATAGGAAAACAAACTCCTTTTTTTCATAGTGCCTTTTATGAAGTAATATATTTTTTACTTCCACATGCTTCACAAAATCAACTGAATAGACATTTAACTAGTGATTCTATTCTAAAGTTGATTAAATCACAAAAGGATTGACTTTTGCAAAAAGTATTTTATATTCATGAGAAAAATATTTCAAGATGGTTAACAACAGCCTTTGCTACACTTCTCTTTCTGTGGTTCAGAACAGAATATATAAGTTCAGTAGGGAGACATACAAAAGCGGTGATAAACCTACCTAGCCAACAGAATAAATTAGATAAAGCGCAGTAGAACTAGGGGGAGAGGAGCTATTTGGAACGATAACATTTAGTCTCTGGAATATGAAAACTTTCTCTTAAAGATTCAACTAGTCAGAATTACAGTCAGTGAAGTAAAACATCCACTCCTTATTTTATACTTTTGGCTATAATTTAGAAAGAGAAAGACTGTTTGTTCATTTTAATAGTAGTCCAATCTGGTGCCATAAACTCCACAAATAAATTGCTTAGTGGCAACTGAAAGTCAGTGGTTTCCAAAAAATAAAACAAAACCACGCTGTTTTTTCACAGGAGTGGTTGTGAAGCACTTTTCATGACCGAGAAGTCTCCACTGAGCTACTCTACCACAAAAGGACTGCCTATATTATAATCAGAAAAGAAGGGTGTCTTGGCTGGTCTGATGCTGGGTGGCTGACTCAAAAGCCTGACGTTCCAAACCAGGGGTTCAGTTCACTGGAAAGGCAGAAAAGGTTCCTGAGAAGCCTTTCTTATGAAAACCAAAGTATTCCTGCTTAAGGCTTTCAACACCTGCTTCTCTCAAGTTGGGCAAGTGAGCTTGCAGATGCAAATCCCCTTTTTTGATTCATGCAGATGTACGGGCACAGACACACCTGGGTAGCAGGCCTCACAAATAAGGAAATGTTTTTTTAAAAAAAAAGGCCCACACTGCTGTTATCATGATCATTTTGCTTCTGTATTTATTTGCTGTTATCTCCTTTAGATATACTTTTATACTGTAAACTCCTCCTGGCAATCATCTCGTTATGGAGGGTTGCATACAGAGCCGACTGTGGCACGCAATCCCTGAAACACTATATGAAAAATAATGGTTCTGGCTTTAGAAAACATTTGAAAGGTGAGAAGAATGCTCACATACAGAAAATGAAATAGTTTCAAGCACTGATCAACCAGTAAAGCATAAAGGAATTCAACTCTGCATAACAGTTCTGCTGCACCTAACAGAGCAAGATCAGAGTTAATGTTTTTGAACCCTGTGTACCCACACTGTCAAATTTGGAGGTTTGTATTGCAGATCTCCAGCCATAGGGTGAAAGTGCCTCTCGACGGAGGACGGTGTTACCAGACATAGCACCCGGTAAGAGGGTACCTGAAAAGCCATAGTCAGCAGCTTATGCCATGGAGGCAACAGTGTACATTTCTATCACAAAATAGTGTTCTAAATCTTTGCCATTTTGTGGGAGAGAGCCTTGTCTCCCACACAGCATCAGCTATATTGAGGATGGATGCTTGCTTCACTGGTACCAGAAAATTGTTGTGTCTTATTTCTACCTTTTTTTCTCCCCTCCTTTTCAATTAGTGACTTGCAGCATTTCTTACATACTTTTAGGAAGCAACCTTGACAGATTGTTTTAGCATTTTTGGAAATAACAAGCTGCATGTAATTCAAAGGATTAGCAAATTAGAGCATCATAAGAATGAGTTACAGCAATGAGCTGTGTTCTCTAACGCTTGCTTTTTGAATCATCATGAATGTGACTTTCTTGAGGCAATTAAGATATTCTTCAGTTTTGCTCTTTATCCGATACAAAAATACTAGCTCCCTAAGCAAGGAATGTTAATAAAGGGCAGTTTTCAGGAGCAGGGTCTAGATCCAGTTTGGGTATTTCAGCTGATCTGATGAAGATGATGTGATGGAGAGATAGCAGATTTTGGAGGGTTGGAAAGAAGGAGCTGGGGGGGCTGTAGGCAGCTGTGAGCCAGGATGCAACCTCGGGCCAACAGGCAGTACACACACATGCACTGTTCTAGCAACCAGACACATCCTTCTTTCTTTCTTCAGAGGTATGGTGCTGCTTAGAGGTAGGGTTGGAAAATGGATGCGAAACAGGTGGTAAGCTATTTATTATAGATAAAGTGTTGACAGTGTGCTCTGTGTTGTCAAAACGTAAAATCATGTTTCTTTCCCCACGGAGCTTCCTCCTAAATAAACGGCCCAGTCAGACGCAGAACTGTTCAGCAGTGCACAGCAGCAGTTTATTAAAAAAGTGAAAAACGAAGTAAACAAAGCAGTATTCTCTACAAAACAGACAAACCCAGGACCATAGGAGAATTGATACTTCAGATGGTTTTAATTGCTGGTTCTCAGCTGGTTTTCTGCCGGAACTAAGGAGTAGTTTAAATAAATAACATTATGTGTGCAGATGGCATTAAATGGTTTCATGTTCGTAATTCATTAATTTCAAGAGATTACCTTTCTTTAAATTAGGCCTCTCTTGAGATGAAATTTAGTCTGTATTTTTCTGACTGAAAAGTAATGTACCTTATTCCCTGTATAAAAACCTAATTTAGATAATCTAGCTTTAGTGGAGATAGTCTTCCAGATCTTTTTTTTATCAACCACTGGAGAGTTTCCTGCAAGATTTAAATCTGCAAGATAGCTGCGAAACTTTTTACAAGTAGGTGACTTTCTTAACCTGAAAATTGAAAACTTGAAATAACAATATTCAGCTTTATGCAGTGAAAATTGTATGTCCTCAGCTATGCTGAGAAGTGTTAACTTTCTTTTTAAAATGAGCCAATGCAGAATTTATGCTGTTGTTGCCATGGGTCGGAGAGGATTGATGCTGCAGTGCCTGTGCACGACAGTACTGACTGCAGGTTTGTGCATCAATCAGCTCCTAGAAAGAGCTTTCAGTTTTGAGTCTTCTGTTACTAGGATTCACTTCCATCTTGCAGAAAATTTAATGAGGAATAGTATAATTTGACCTCTTTGAATACATACATCTCGAATACATGATTCTAATAGTTATGAAGATGAAGAATCCTATATTTAATTCAGGGGTTTTAATTATGTTGGGCCAGGAAAGGGATCAAGATCCAAATAAAAGCAAGACAACTCTGAGAAAATATTAAATTACATTGGAGAAAAGCACTGCCTTTTCTAGCGCACCTGCAGTCTCGGCTGATGTAAGAATAGCTTTGTGATGCATTTTTCCTCCTTCAATTTACCTTGGAGGCGTTGAACCCTCCTAATCCTATGCAAGCTCTTGCTGCCTAGATACAGCATCTTCAGCTGATGTTTGCTGCCATCTACCGTTTTAATTAGAAGGCTTAATCAGTTTGGCAGGAGCGTGTTCACATTGGCAAAACCAGCAGGTTAGCTGTTGTGGGAGAGAGGGGAAAACAGTAGCGTAGCTGTTCTGTGAGGTTGCTGCAGTAAAACCTGTACCTGCAAGAGAGCCCCAGCAGTTTCATTTCAACACCAATCAAACCACCAAATGACTTTCTTTTTTTCTTCCCCAAAAAATAACTGAAAGGGTTCGTTTGTTGCCTCAGCTCCATTAAAAAAACACCTCAGCTCATTACAGAAGATTACTGTCAAAGGTGTTTTACAGGACATTCCATTACTCCCTGGGTAGTAGGGGTTGAGCTGCTGAATTTCTCTCATTTTCTTCTTAACATTACATTTTTTTTAGGCTGGTACGTTTAGAATACACTATTGTTTATTTTAAGTTACCTCTTAGCTTTCAGGTTTTGTAAAGAACAAAAATGAAGACAGTCTTTGTTTTCTATTTTTCAGCTGTTTGTTGGTCTTGGATTTCCATATGAAGGGCCGGCTCCTTTAGAGGCTATCGCTAATGGATGTGCATTTCTAAATTTAAGATTTAACCCACCAAAAAGCAGCAAAAACACAGAATTTTTCAAAGGCAAACCTACACTCCGAGAGGTAAGCTTTATCAGTCTTATTAACCTCTTTATTGAAAATGATTGTGGATTTCTTTTTAGTAACACAATACAGGAAAAATGTTCACAGTTTATTGCAAAAGGTGTGTAACTGCCGTTTCCTTTAGCTATTGGTGGGATTATTAGTACTTATTTTTATAGGATAATCAACATTTTTCATTAACATACTGTTAAGCTTTACATCTAGATTTGCCTATACGTACATTCTGCTAATTCTTGTTGATAGATCATGAACTCGAAAACCTGATGTTCTGCCGAGGAGCAGATCGTGTCATCTGACACATGATGTGTCATTTGAAAACAGTTTTATTTTGTTGAAGAAACAAACATGACTGTGTACTGTGCAGGAAGTAAATAGGTGTTTGAGTAAATTATAAAAATGCCGTTTGTGGGTTGTTGTGTGTGTTTTGGGTTATTTTTTTTTTTTCTCCAGAAAAGTCCTGCTCAAGGCACTGTTGAGCTAAGGTATGAATGGTCACAGCCCACTGTGCTTGTGGTTAAACACTGAGGACTGTGGAGAACTGACTCTTTAAGAGAACAGGAAAACCAAACCTTGAGCTTTCGAAACAGCCAGTGTGTTTAGTAAGAGAAAAATGAGGCTGAGTAAACTAACCCCTCATCCTGGCACTGACTTTGGAATATTTTTCCTCTTCAGCATAGGTAAAATTCAGCCTATACCACTTGCGAGCGTTTAACAGTCATGTAGCCATTCTGACATTAGCGCTTTTGCCTATGACTATGGTTTGTTCATAAGTGGATATACGTATTTTCTTTACATACTTACCTAAAGGAGAAGTTCTCTGGTAACATCCAGACAATGAGAACGTTGTACATTTCCCAATTCACATTACTCTTGGGCTATATAAATTGCATACTGAGCAACACCAGCTAGTTGATAAGCAAAAGACAGTTTCCTATTTTAAAGCAGGAACATAAATTCCTTATGACTTTATGATCCAGGAGTGTAATTGCCTTTCAACTTGTTATGCGTTCATCTTGTACAGGACATGAGTTCAAACCTACCCCTTCTCACAGCTTGCTTGCATTGCTAACAAAGGAGATAGCAATAAGGGGAAAAAAAATCTGTTTAAACTTTATCCTTGTGCTTGGCACCCTTCAGAGCTTTTCTTCTGTGGGTTAATCAACTGTGTGTCTCATTTCCAGTTGTCCTGGTCAGCCTCGGTAAATAATCTGAACCCACCTAACTCTTCAGAAGGAATTTCAGTGGTTGGAATGCTGTGCTAAATCCTGCTGCCATGTGTCAGCTGTGCACCTGACTTGCATGGAAAAATAATCCCTATAGACTGCTTGAGTACAAAATCATACAATGAACGTTCATCACGAGCACTGCTGCATTTGCACGCCCTGCTGACCTATCATCCTAAGAGTAACCTTTTCTCTAACTGTTTCTCACAACTGCATTTAGATCCGATTGCCAGTAATCCATGTGCTGGTTCTTTGGGATTAAGAAAGTCCTTAAATCCTTCTCTCAGTTTTTTAAGTGTTAAAGGAGAACAAAAAAAAAGCTTGTGTAGTTCTGCAGATTGATTATCCATAGCCCAACTGGAAGATGAAGTCTGTGGTTAGTACTTCTGTAGAGTAACCACTGCAAGTCACTATTTCTCTCTTGTTCTAGATAGAGTTTTTGGGGGGTGGGGGAGTTAGCTGTTTCCCCTCTACCCTCAATATGGGGTCCTGTAGTGAAAACTCTGTAAAAAAAATGGGAGATTACAATTTTTCATTTTAGATCAGCAGTTGTTTTGTCTTGAGAAATTATTTTGCTGGGGGAAAGAGCCAGGAAAAAAAAAGAAAATCACCTCCAAGCCCCTTGTTTGTACCAGTATTTATAGCAATGTTTCTTCTCCCTCCCGCCCCCCAAGGAAGAAAACATTGTATGCTAAATCTAGTTGAAATGTGTACTTGGTAGGAGTGGTTTCTTTAATTTTCTGCTTTTAAGAAGGTAAAAAAGCCCTGAAATTAGAAATTAATTCCAAATCTATTTATAGGAATTCTTGCAGATTTTAATTATAGACAGAAGGAGTATCTCCTGAATATCTAAAACATTAAGCCTCAGCTAATTGAAGTGTTTCAGTATTAGGAAATAGTCCTCATTTTTTTTTTCATAATATAGATGCAGAATAACTGGTGCAATAAAAATATGTTGCTAGTTACTCTTAATACTTAAAACAGCTACCAGTCTGGGAAGTTCAGTTATTTGTCTTCCAGATCAGACCTGGCTTTAATGTTGCCATCTGTCTGTCTGTCTGAGATGGCAGTGATAGAGTGGTCTAAGACATGATCCCTAAAGCTTTGTGGAATTTAAAATGCTATTTTATGTTCACGTTTTTGAAGGTGCAATAGAAGTTTTTTTGTTGTTACTGAAAGCAATGGGAATGTAGCTTCTGCCATTTGAAGTCTAGACATACGTGCTCTGGGAACTCAGTAACCAAATTTTTAAGTACATAGAGATTTAAGTGGTAGTAGAAAAACTATTGAAAAGGGGTTAGAACATGTCAGTCTTTGAGAAGCACTGGACTTTTTGGAGGAATTTAAACTATGCCAATGGCAGCACAGTGCAGCGGGCTCCAAGTGAATGTAGGCAGCTACAGAAGCTCGCTATGTGCAGAAGCATCCCGAGTTACTGGTCCCGCAGCTGCAGTCGTCCAGCCAGTCCACGAGCCCTCACTGCCTGCAACCAGAGGTGGGAGCCTGCACAGAGTCCCCTGGAGTACTGGGCTCAGAGCACAGATTTATGCAGATTTATGCTAGCTGGTCCCATATGTAACTGTAAGACTGGCTTCTCTTCTCCACAAACAAAATGGAATAGGCAAAAAAAAAATTTAAGTGGTTTCCTGCATTCACTTGAGCAAGTACTTGCGCAAGTACGGTATATCCTAGTGCGGGAGAGGGTTCTTCCCCTTTCTTCTGCAGCTTTGGCTTCCTCTGGGTGTGTTCGTTTGCATGTTCCTCTCACTCCTGTGCAACCTGTCACAAAAATTACTTTTAGTGGCATCCTGCTAGTTCTGAAAGCTATCTATAAGTTTTCTTAGTTATTTAATTGGGTATTTTGAATTTGTTTTCTGACAAAGTGGTGAGCAAAATACCAGTTCATGCGCTTACTGAGGTCAAATCACTCCTGTAGTATCAGCAGCAAGCATCAGACTTCATCTTAAGTGATCAGCATGACTCTTTATTCACTGCTACTCACAGAAGCTTGGAAATGTTTGAAATTTGGAGGAGAGACGGGGTGAGGACGTTGTCTGAAAGTGAGACAGGGCAAGGATGACATCTCTTGAAGGCAGCCATGCAGGTCTAACCAGGACGGGTAGCAATTAGGGCGTGTGAAGATGGAGGGCTGCTGAGAATGGGCCGTGGGGAAGCAGGGTTACACTGTCAAAGTCATTTCAGAAAGTAACAAATCTTCTGTGGTGTGGGTCGTTATGAGGACAAAAGCCACAAATGAGAGGTGCACAAATGTTACTTGTGATCTGCATTATTATCTGGTTTTCAGTTTTCCAGCTGAATTCCCTCTCTAAGTTTGAACACAGAAAATCTGAAAGGTAACTCAGAAGGAATGACACTGACTATTAGACTGTAGCTGAATTCTTGCGTTATCCTCGTGCCTTTCATCCAAAAAGTCTGATAAAGAGAATGAGAGGGAAGGATATCTCGACACATTAATTTTTACCAATGTAATTTCTTCCTTTCAGCTGACATCTCAGCATCCCTACGCTGAAGTTTACATTGGGAAGCCCCACGTCTGGACTGTAGACATCAATGATCTTTCTGAAGTTGAGAGGGCTGTGAAATCCATTTTGAATCAGAAGGTGAGAAATGTACCCTCAATTTGTCATCAGCACTTCAGGGTGTGTTGTGTACTGCATGTACAGTGGTTTCTGCTGTTGGTCTAACTAAAGCAGAGGGCTGCACTTTGGTCGGATACTGGGAAAATAAATTTGTTGTTACGTCTCTGTGGTACTGATTATCATGTCTGTTTTAGTACCGGGTGTGTCAATTTCTACCCGAAATAAATGACCATGAGTGCATTTGTACAGAAATGTGAATTTCGTATGTAAATTATACAGCAATCTCCACTTTCTGTGCATTCAGTGAGGAATCTTCCTTGTTGATTCTTAGAGCATTGCAGGCTGTCCAAATCATGCTCAACTCTTTTGGCTGATTTTGCAGCCTTGACATAACTGCCACTGAAGTGCTTGTGCACTTGCAGCGTGGAATTGTAATGAGGGCACTTCAAGGGGGAAAAAAAAAAAACAAAACACAGTTTGAAGTAATTTTCAAAGGTATCACATTCCTTTTTGTCATAATGTTTTCTTTTTCACTTTAACTCCAGAACTGAAACTTAGTTAAAACGGGAGCTCTGGAATCCCGTAGGGTCTCAGCTTTATAGCTTTTTATCTATTGCTTTGCAGGAAACCTTTGTTTCTATCATTTGACATGTCCTGAAAAATAATCACTGAGCAACTTTTATTGCCATAACAAAGGAGCAAAAACCAGCTTAAACTGCTGATAGTTTTGTGAAACTGTGATTTGTTGATGAGTTTGTTTGCATTTATTTTGCTACCTAAGCTATAATGTGGTATTTGGAATACAAGCTGCTACGACGCAGTGCACCATAAAGCTCATTTAAACGAAAACTCCTCTAACCATAGCACACTGTTTCCACAGATCGACCCTTATTTGCCGTATGAATTCACATGTGAGGGAATGCTTCAGAGGATGAATGCATTTATTGAAAAACAGGTATGAGCTTTTATTGTGGATGAATCTTTTATTTTATGTTGGAAAGGGAGGGCTCTCTCCATTTTAAAGCTTCTCAATGTTGCTCTGTTCAAGTAGAAATAGTAGCTGTGCAGTCCTTCTCTGGGCAGCTGTTTGCGCAGATGAAGTTCCCTTGGGAGGTCCACGTGGACTCAGAGACTCGCTTCTGTGGCCTTGGCCATGTGGGGCTTAGGAGGCTTGGGAGCACCAGTGGGATTTTTCCTGCGTAAAGAGACTGACTAAAAATTAAGACAAAGTGCTGGCTACCAGAATATTCATTCTGCTTCTCAGTTTGCCATTGGGTTCTGACTCATCAGTGAGTCTCTGAATTACCACATGTCTTTGCAAAAATGGATATACTTGTCTGAATTTCAGGAGCTATAGGAGCTTTTAAAATTATTTTTTTTAGATTTATCGATTGATTGATTTAAAAAGAACGGGAGCTATAGGAGCTTTTAAAATTATTTTTCTTAGATTTATCGATTGATTGATTTACAAAGAACCTCCCTTCTTCTGATGTTACATCAAGAAAGGCAAAATAATTTTTCAGTGTGTATGTGACTTTAAACTGTGTACAGACAGGCAAAATAATTTTTCAGTGTGTATGTGATTTCTTTAACTGTGTACAGATGTAGAAATCTTTGGATCATGAAGTATCACATAAATATAGAGATACTTTGTGGTAGAATTGCGCTTAGGCTAAAGCCTCTGGGCAGATCTTTCAAGTATGCAGTTTCAATTGATAAAGCTTTAAAGGGTTTGGAAACCAGTTGCTTAAAGGGCTTTTGGTCCGCATGCATTATTGCCGCTGAGAGCAGCAGAAGATACGGAGTTGGAGTAACAAACTGCAAAGATTTCCATGGGATCGTGATTTCTAGAAACTGTATATTTGCTTGGACTTCTGCCCAAGGCCAGATCTGCAGCAACGGCCAGCTCTGCCTTTTGTTCTGGCTGCTGCAGCAGAGAGATAGGGATAACCCGCATCTTTGTTATGCCAGTTAACTGCCAGGATTTCTTTCAAAAGCACTGCACATAGTCCTGTACCTGTGTTTCTGAAGGTGGACAGTGTTACAGACAGTAATAAAGGATAACACAGCTTCAGATCAGAGGTGTAGTTAACGTAACACAGCTATTTCCAGTTTCCTGCCAATAAACACTTTCTGCTCTTTGCTGCTGCATTGGTGACACAGCCTGTAAAAGTATTTCTGGTTCTTTTGATTCTTCTACCTGAGTTAGCCATAACTGAGGTTTTTGTCAATACAGGAAGAAACAGAGCTCAGTGTAGCAGAGAAAAAGCGACAATCTAGAGGTAGCGTCTGTGGGGCAGAACTGTCTCCTCCCTCTGGACCTCTCCCAAGGGCTAAGCCCTGGCCTGTCCTGCGTGCTTCTCAGGAATAGAGCATTGTAATTTTGTTCATTGCTTGGACTAATTTTCGAAAGCCATTATTGTTTCACAGCCCCCAGGATGCTCAAGTATCGTTATTAGCTGGGTGTGCTTAGCACCGTGCCTGATTAACGTGTCAGATGAAGCAAAAAGAACGGTTGAGACCTTGTTTTGGAGAGTTTGTGGTGGGAGGGAGGCAGAACAGAGAAGGCAGCCCAAGCTTAGAACAGGAACAAAGCCGCATGGAGCTGATCTGGTTCAGAGGCTGCGGGGTGTGTTAACCATGACAGTGTGGTCTTCAGGGGACGTTTGGATGTGAAGAGGATGGGGCCAGATGCACTCTACCCACAGTCACCCTATTGGACAGTGAAGCTGTAGGAGTTAAAGGAGTTGTCTGGAGTTCCCTTTTTGGTGCCTTGGCTGTGGAGCAGGAGGGAGGACAACGTTCACAAGAAAGGCTGAGTGAATTCCCCAGATCATAGAATCATAGAATGGTTTGGGTTGGAAAGGACCTTAGAGATCATCGAGTTCCAACCCCCCTGCTATGGGGGGGATCTTCAGATGCGACAGCTGCGCTGAAGGTCTTTGGGGCCTGAAGCAAGAGAACTGCTGTGAGCTGTGGTTTCATGTTTAGCAGTGCCACCTTCAGCTGGATTAAAAAAGCTTTCACTCCAGGCTGCTCCCTCCTGCCAGTGCACTGCCCCTGCCAGCAGCCCAGCGCGGCTGTTAGGTGCCTCTGTGCCATCTGCTGAATCCATCCCTTGATCCCGGTTACTCCATGGCTCCACAAACAGTTGTGTCAGCTCTGCAAAGTGGCAGCGTAGGGTGGGAACCAAAGGGTTGGGACGGCTTAAGTTGGCCGCACCATCAAAGGAGCTGCCAGGCAGCTGCAGCTGAAGCAGCTGCAGGATTCCCTGTGGCAAACTGGGCAGCTGTAGGATGAGGCAGGCTGGGCTGGTGGAACAGACGTGCTGACTTTGAAAGATGTGGTCAAGCCGAGTACTTGGTGATCTGGCAGAAAATGTTTTTGTCAGCGTTCTGCTAGGTTACCAAACCGACTTGGCTCAGCAGAGCAACAGCTGAGCACCAGAGCCTGGCAAAGGGAGCGGAGTGAGGACATTCATCCAAGAGCCGGTAAAGACAGAGGGAGGAGGACACCTCTGAGGGCAGGGCTCAGCCTGTCTCACCTTGAAATTGTGGCTGTAGGTAAAACACACATAAACGAGGTCTCTGGTGAAGCTTAACTTTCTGGTTTACAGAACATCTTTATTTTACCCTTACGCAGGTGGGGCTGTGGGGAAAGATAGACTGGGGTGAAGACAGCAAATGTAGGTTGCTTTTGATGGTTGATAGGAAAACTAGCCAGAGACAGCAAACTGAAACAAAGCCTTGTGCACTGGTGTGTGGTGAAGGTGACATCCTCTGAGACATGCTTCAAGGTGGCATAAGCTGAGGAAGGCTTCCCCCAAGCTATGGACAGGAAATGGGAGCCTGTGCCCTGTTTTGGGGAAGAATTTTCAACGAAGAGATGTTAAAAGCTGAAGTCCCCAGGAAATGGGGAAGCCTCACAAGTGATTCCCTGTCTTTAAAAAACTGTCTTCTGCCTGCACTAGCTGTGAATCCAATCCAATATTGTATACATTACGTTAGTATATATTACAGTATTATATAGTATATATTACAGTATTGGATTGGATTTTGAACCTATATAGGTTTCCTCCTGCACCTAGTGTTTTAGATAATGATTTACAAATGACAGAATAAGGAGGGAGCTTAAGTCCAAATAGCAAAATTACCTTTTTGAAACAACATCGTTAAAATGCTCTAAAATTACGCAGGTTTTTTGAATATGGCACAAAGGAATGGCTTAGAGCTGCATCAGGGGAATTTCAGAACCGATATTGGGAAAAAGTTCTTCACTGAGAGGGTGGTGAAGCACTGGAACAAGCTGCCCAGGTCATGGTCCCAAGCCTGTCAGTGTTCAAGAAGCGTGTAGACAACACTTAGGTACATGCATTAGCTTTTAGATTGCCCTGACTCCGTCATCTTCATGGGTTCCTTCCAGCTCAGGATATTCTGTGAGTGACTATTGTCTAATATTAAATTTATGGTTAGACCTGGGAGTATGAAAACTTCCTCTTTCAGCAGAGGAGATCTAAACAGAGAAAAACCCCACCAAACTGATATTGAAAAATTATTTGGGGTCTTAGTTTCATTAAAATTTCAAGTAGTTCAGCCTTTCTGAGCTTTGGGTCAGAGTGTGGGACCTGTTCAGACAAGTATTAGTGTTGTCAGAACGCAAACCATGATGGACTCGGCCCAGGGTTTTTGATCACCTTCAGATGAGAGCTGCCAAATGGAAAAATTATGGCTGAGTATCATGGGATGTTATATAAAACCAGGGATTAAAATTTTCTCTTTGCTTTTTCTCATTTTAAATGTCAAGACCATAGGAACTTGTCTTTGAATAGTTTTCCCTAGCAGGTATGTGTAGATACTGTCCCTTCCCTCTCTCCGCTCTGGTGACACTTGACTGCGTGCATTATTTTAAGCCAGTTTTTGTCAATGACCTTTGGAGCATTTTTACTAGCAGTTCAACCAAGAAGAGCAAACAAACTCTTTGAATCCTGGTTTATAGAAATCTTCAGTCTCTAGTGAGTTCAGCTCCCTCCATAGCGCTGCAAGTCCCCTGGTCCCTTCCAGGTGGCTCTCCATGTGGGGCTCTGGAGACATTTCACACCTACAGGGGAACTGGCCTCTGGAATTCTTCTCCTGCCAGAACTTCCTCCTGATAATTGTGCTGTTACAAAAATAGTTCTGCTAACACCGAGTTAGTGAAACAGGAATAACTGAGAAAGCCAGAATGGGTTGGGTGTGTGGAAGAAAAGAGAGTGTCAGGAGTTGCTTTATGATAAATTAAAAAAGGTAAAGGTGGGGAAGAAGCTTCTTTGCGAAGAGTAGTACTACCACATTTCAAGTAGCAATCAAAGGTTATAATTCCCTCATGCTAAAAAAAAAAAAAATTCCTTTTAATTGTGCTTAAATTACTGGTTTTAATAAAACCAAAATGATCTGCAGAACGAGTGTTTTGGTGATAATAGCCACTAATTTTACTAATGGGGGAAATTGCCAGCAAGGGACTGGATGCGTCATAATAGAATATGATCTGTCGCTGCAGGATTTCTGTCACGGGCAGGTGATGTGGCCCCCATTAAGTGCCCTTCAAGTAAAAATTGCTGAACCTGGAAAATCCTGTAAACAAGTTTGTCAAGAAAGCCAGCTCATCTGTGAGCCTTCCTTCTTCCAGCATCTTAACAAGGACAAAGCTCTGCTTAGGTAAGTGTTTCAAAGCACAAATATATTATTTGATCTCTTCTCATTACATTGGTTTTTGCCACACATGAAGCTTAGTGTACAAATTCTGTGAGAAGGGAAGAGAAGATGCTCACAACCACTGGTGCCAGGACTGTGGCTGTGTTTGGATGGGCCCTTTGCAGCCCTGGCCGAGCAGGTGCGCTAGTCCGTGGCTTTTGCCATTTCCTTCTGAGAGCTGGTGAACTTGGGTGACTCTTAACACTAATCCTAACTGGGCTCCATCAGCTGGCTCAGAAACTAAACACGTGTTGTTGCAGTAACTAGAACTCTGTACGCATAGCGTGATTGCTATCAGTTGTTCACATTATTTTAAATACAGCCCTTACAAAGTGTTGCTTTGCTTTTATTTATTGAGCTTTCTCTTTGCTCTCGATTAACACCCATGTTGAAACATCTATATTCATTGGCAGTTCGCAGTTCCTGTTTCTGCAAACCTTTTGCTGGTGTTTTCCTAGGTAAAGAATTGTAAACCCTCAGTACCAGTTAGTACCAATTTATAATGCACACCAGCTATGCATTAAGGAAATTAATATTGCTTTCAGGTGCTGTCTCTTTGAGAAGGTGTCTGTGAGCACTCAAAGCTAGGCTCCAAGAAATGGCTGCCAGGGAATCTGCTTTCTAGGTTTTCTAGCTCCACTTTTTGCTAAATTAAATTGTAGAAGATTTTTATTTTTGTCTTTTGTTTGAAAAGTTGTAATTTCCAGTGGAGTTCAGAAGCAGCTCATATAAAAATTCTTCTTTTCTAGCTGTCTAGACAAAATTATAATTCTGTGGGGAAAAAAATTCTGTTAAATGCTGAAAGCTACGATTGTTTCCAGAATAAGTGAAAAACAAGCCTCTGCTGGAATAGCTGCCCTTGTGTGTGAGCTTTGTGGTCAGAAAATGGCAACTTGAATTTTTCTTTTTTCAGCTAGCTAGCACTAGCTGGTTCCTCGGAGGAGTGGGTGCTGCTCTGACTGGGTTCCACTGTAACACAGCAGCATCGACGGGCCCCTCCTCGCAGCCTGGCTGAGCGCACCTCCAGCTACCTGGGGCTGCCTGCGCCGGGTGCCTTGCCTGCGGGAGACCCCTGCAGAAATCAATGAGAATATCTCCTGATTTCAGATTCAGCGGTGTATTTAAATATTAATGCTTTGGGGAACAGTCTAAAGCATTTTTTTTCTTTTTAACTTCTTTCATTAATCTTTAGGAAACAGTGTAAAGCTGAAGAGGCTGTACTGCCCTCTGCAGAGAGAATCTGCCCAGGAAAAAAGAAATGAGAGACATGTTCTGGAAATCTGCAATTCTAAATGCACTTGATTTAGGATGTAATATAGCATTTTATTTTATTTTTAGCAAGGAAGGATGAAAACTGTACCAAACTCCTGTAAACTCCTTTGTGATTTAGATCCTGTGCTTTGCTTTTTAGGCATAATATTGAATGTCTCACCATGGAATCTGCAAATGACATTCTGGTCCCCTCTTTTGATGGAAGAAGGAAGCACTGTGTTTTCCAAGGTGACCTCTTATTGTTCAGCTGTGCCGGATCCCACCCCACCCACAGAAGAATCTGCCCCTGCAGAGACTATATTAAGGGGCAGGTTGCGCTTTGTAAGGACTGCCTATAGCAGCGGCAGAGCTCCTTTTGAGTTGAGGACAAAATGTAAGTAGTTTTGAGAGGAGCTACTTATTACTTCCTGCACTTTTGTCCAGGTTTTTCGCTGCAGGCAGAGCTATCATTGCTGGGCAGAATTCTCTACTAAGAGAGGAGGCATTCATAACAAACAAACAGCTAACTGATCTTTTTTCCTAGAAGAACATTTGCAGTGTAAGTCTTCAGATTGATTCATCTGTTTGCGAAGAGGGATGAGGTTCACGTTCTACAATGATCTGAAGATGACTGCACAGAATAGTTTGTAGAAAATTCCCAGACCCATCAAACTTCTTTTTTTTGTTGTTGCTTGGGTGAAGTATTTTCTATTTTTTTAATGAATTAGAACATCCCCCGTCATGGTTAGCTAAACGATCTCAAGTTCATTCCAGTAGAAAACTGAAAAAAGTGTGCTTGATGGAGAGGGGTGCAGGGCAGGGAGGAGTAACATTTTGTTCTAGGTGCACTGTTGTGGGTATTGCTTTAGCCTGAATGGCTTTAAAGTGGTTTATTCCACAAGAACTTGGAATCACAAGATAGCTCTGTACCCTGTTACTGGGTTATCTGGGCCCATTTCTTTTTTCTTTTCCTTTTTTTTTTTTTTTTTAATCTATATATACAACAAGGTATTGTCTGCATCACAGCTGCTGCATCAGAGCAGTCTGAACAGAGAGGATCATGAATCAGCAAACAGGCAGTTGCCGACGTGTGACACATCATCTTGGTGACTCGACAGCTGACCAGGGTTGTAGCATTCTTCAGCATGGAAAAGCTACAAAAACATACTGCCGTTTTCGGAATGGACTTGTCACAGTTTACTGGTCCCATTTAGAGAGTAATCCTTGGAATTTGCCCATGCTTCTGTTGTAGTCTGTCTACTAGAAATACTGCGTGAAGCAAAAAAGTATTCAGCATCATTGGAGCAATATTATCGTTAGAGCCTCGGTTTGCTACGGCTTCCAGTAGTTAAAGTGTTGCTGAATGACATAGAAAGGTTAAACTAGTCTAACTATAATTATTGTATGGTAGAAATGTAAAATGTCTTCATAACTAGCTAGGTTTTTAAAGAGAAATTTTTTTCTGAACAAGTAAGAGGAGACAAACAACTGCTAAGAAAAGCATCAATCCATCTCGTGGGTTCTTTGTGTTTCTGGTTTTGGGGGGGTTGGTTTTTTGGTTTGGTTTGGTTTGGTTTTTTTGGCAGGCACACCAGTTAGAGATTTAGAAAAAAACAATTCAAGATTTGGGAATTCAAATCAAACTTCATTTTTTTTTAGAGCAGCAAGCTATATCTTCTGAACTGCCTCCTTTTAACAGAGGTAATTTTTGTTATTTTCAGCAGAAGGTGGCATGCTTGACAGCATCACTTGGAGTCAGGAAATTATATGCTAAGATTAGTGAGAAACAAATCTGCAGCATATTTTGAAAGCAGTCATAGGCTGCAGGTTTACAATTTGGATATGCTCTGATCACACTGGAAAAAAGCTCAGATCAACATTCAACATTAAGGGTTTTTTCATGAAGATTGACAGACGTTACCAGGTAACAATGAAAAGCATAGGTATTTTAAATTTTCCTTTCTTGGATATATCTGGTTGGTTCAGAATTTTGTTGTAACCGGCATTCATTATTGGTGTGTGAATATCAATATATCTCTTGACCTACCAAAGACCAATCAAGGGAAATGCTATTTAATCTTGGATAAATTCTCAAGACAAGAGAACAGACCAGTACACATTTAAAGTTTCAATTTAAAAGCAATGGATTTGCTTTGTCAAGTGTTTTTGTTTCCTGCCTCGGCACTCCTGACGGTGTTATCCTGTAACACTCCGTAACATTGCTGTGGACGGCACAGGAACTCAATCCTGAGAGACTGTTGAGTATCCACAGAGGATACGTGGGAGCTGTTGAACAGCAGGGTCACCAGGAACTGAGTTGTGATGATGATTAAATCTGCTGTACTTCAGAGTAATTTTCCAGAAACCGAACAGCTGGGTTCTATAATGGGAGGCAACCTTTTTTGTATGAAAAGAAAACAAACACAAAATAGTATCAAAATCCTTACTGTTACCATAGCTCAGCATTTGCTTCAGTCAGCACAAGCGTAGTTTGCAATAGTTTTAATACCCTGGAAAAGCTGGAGAAGGAGGAGGATTGAAAATGGGTCTGAGCAGGCGCAAGAATTCGTTTTGTATTTATATAAAATATTCCCCGCATACCTGTGCATATTTGTGCAACTGGAAAATCCTGCTTATTAAAGAAAGTATGTATCTGGTGCTGTAAGTAAAGGCAACAGCAGAATTTGTCTTTACCACTTCAGCCTGAGGTTCTTCAGGCAGGAATTTAGTTTGGAATGAGATCTCACAGAATTATGTCAAAACAAAGATTTGTATGTGTGCACTTAAAGAATGCAAAGCACGTAATTTTTGCTCTAGTGTAATTCTTTGCTGTAAATACATATTTGCTTGGTTCCCCCCCGCGCTGTATGGTCCACATGGCATACTGCAGTTTATTTTGCCTCTAAACCTTTAACGATGGGAGGGGTTTGGTATTTGTTATTATAAGATTTTCTGGTCTAGTGCTTTGCTCAATGCTAAATTTGCCTTTACCACAGCAGGGAGAGTCTATTATAAGCTCTGTTGTTTTGTTTTTTTTTCATGCTGTAGCACTGTTTCTTTCTAGTCTACTGAACTGAGTTACTGCGTACTAGCAAAAATGAAACAGCAAACACCAATGCCACTTGCATTTCAGCCAGGGACAGAACATCTAAACTTGGTTGGATCTGATCCTACTTCTACTGAAATCTATAGAGAAGACTCATTAATCTTAAAAAAGAATCAAGACCCATAATTTGATAGGCCTCTATTATTAATTTAAAACTCTTTTTTTTTCCAGAAGAAATATTACTTTTATGAAATACAGCTTCAGTCTAAATTTCTGTAAAAGGAATCTGTCACATGAGAACTGTAAGTGCTTAAACTTTGTGAACATTGCTCACTAAACCCGATGCAGCACTCCCCCGTCACACAGCAGTGTTTGTTCATGCATCGATAAATAAGTGAATCCTTCTGCAGATAAGCACTCAGGCAAATCCAGGTGGGACTATTTAAAAGTTTGAATGAGTTACTAAAACATATAGTATCTATCCACACTTCAGGATGCAGGGCAGCCTGCTGTCCAAGTTCCATATCTATTTTCCTTCCTAATTAAAGAATACAGGTGTAGTCCAATTATTGCACTTAAATATATCAGAGATGGGACTGTGCTACTGTTTGTCAGTCTGACAGTAAAGCTTGCAGCTTCCTTTACTCAGAAATCAGGTTTTTGCATGACTTGCTTCTGAATATATTGATCAGTGATTGATGGGGAAAAATGTCAAAAGTTGAATATAAAAACATTTTACAAGCTTTTAAACATATCTCTCATATCAAGACATTCTTTGTTTTAAAATTTTGTATTTTTGTATGTGACCTAGTTTTTTTTTCAAAAATCTTGTTCCTATGAGATTAGAAAACTTGAGAGAAGCATTTACATATTTATTGAGATTAACATAAAAGGCTTGCCTTTGAAAGGTAAAGTTGGTAAATACACACTGTTTAAAAATGCCAATAAAAACCTCATTTATTTCATATATGCAAGTTGATTTGCACATGTATAAATAGAGTTGCTTCTTGCATTTTTTGCTTAGTTTCTGTTTCCTTTTGTAATTTATAGTTGCAGCTATGTGTTTGCTTGTTTATATCAGAATATGTTTCTCCTACAAATATTTAATGTTTATGTGCCTTTTTTTACTTTCTTTGGGGTTTGGATGGGTGTTTGGAGAATGGACGCTGTCTGAACAAGTATAGTGGAACACTAATTACAGGTGACAATAGCGCTTGATGACTAGACAAGTTAGTGGTCTGAATTTTCAATGTTTTTGAGTAGTGGAGAAATCTGTTCTAAGATTGTATGGTAAGGGTTAATAAGATAAACCCGTAACTTTAATAATTCTTGCAAAATATTGCTTCTGCAAGCAAAATATCCTTTACTGTGTATCTGTAATTTAAAATGAGAGCTCCTGCTGGGATGGGATGTCTGTTCAATGACCAGAGAGCAAATTAAAGCCCTTAGGAGACAATGGTAAGAGAAAACCTCTAGAAACAGT